CATCTTACTTAGATAAGAGGTCTTACAACTTTACTTAGATAAGAGAGCTTACTTACCATCTTACTTAGATAAGAGAGCTTACTTACCATCTTACTTAGATAAGAGAGCTTACTTACCATCTTACTTAGATAAGAGAGCTTACTTACCATCTTACTTAGATAAGAGGTCTTACAACTTTACTTAGATAAGAGAGCTTACCTACCATCTTACTTAGATAAGAGAGCTTACTTACCATCTTACTTAGATAAGAGAGCTTACTTACCATCTTACATCTGATGTACTTAGTATACTTCAAGTCAACAAACATTACGATAGCAAGAATTCTTTTTTTCTTTCTGGAAATGAATTTGGCATAGTTCAGTAGTTCAGAGTTTTCCTAAGGTCTAAAAAAAAAATTCGCATTTCCTCCTCGAATAGATACCACTTAATTTTAATTTTCCACTCTTACATAGTTAATAGGGGAAGTAGCATGACAAATACCGGTTAATGCATCTACAACTTCTTTTGGACAACTGCACGTAAACGAATGGATTTGATTAACGGTCAGAGCGCGCTAGCTTTCGCGAAACAGACCAAAGTTCTCCTCACGCTTTGGTTTCGCGTATGTTACACGCACGTGAATACTACGGCCCCATCGTCCGTAATCGTACTATACCCGATTGACCCCGAGTCAGGTCACAGGAAAGACACATAGTCTTGTCATGCTACACCCCCTTTAATATATATCTTAAATGAACCAATATTAATGAAAATTACAACATTTAGCTTAAAAATTGTCTATTTGTTCATACAAATTCTGATTTCACACCGTATCGCCAATTTAGGGCCTGTTGTGATCATTTACAATTAAATCGCTCTTCTTTATGAATGTAAAAAGTACTGCTGCATAAAATAGAAGTGGACCCTAGATTTTCTATTTCTGTTCATTCTGCTCATTTATGAATGTGTAATTCCTTGCATTCTAGATCAAAAGATAATCCACAAACATCTTTAAAAGAAGACACTGAACTGTCATTGGTTAAGTTACTATCCAAAGACTAAATATAGATGCTTTCAGGAGTCTTTTGCAAGCCTTCACGGGTAACAGCTAACAATTAAGACTTGAAAGAGACCGGTTTCACAGAAAATATGAATAAGCCATCTTGAATTTCATCAATATAGTAATTTAAGCTATTTCTACTCCTCTTCAGACACTTTGTTTAAGCTAAAAGCAATCTTGCCATAGTCCAATTACCAACAAACGGAGAGTGAGAATTCTATTTTTGATTCCGCATAACTTTTTTTGAAATCCAGTAAAGACAGTATGACATGTAATAGAATCACAGATGCTCTATCCATAGTTTAAATTTAGATTCCATCCTCTTCATTGCACTGGAATTTCACCCCAGTGGATAAACGAAGCCTAAACTGGAAAAGGTACCTGAAATGGAGGTTTAGTTTCTCTTCCTTTTGTAAAAGCGCTTTCAGGATGCATGCCTACATTATGTAGTTTGGCATTGAAAAAACAAGAAAGAAAGAAAACAAAACATATAAGATTAGATGTTTCAATGTAAGAATTACAAATATCAATTGCATGAAATGAACTGAAAGGGCAAAAGTTCCTGCATACTTGACGCAGGGGATTTTCAAAAGAATGATTAGCATCAATGTCTGAAAATTGGCAACATCTTCAAAAGATAATAATATATTAAGCAGATTGTGATTGCATTTGAAACCCACTTATGGACAGGAAATTTTGTTAAAGAGAAATCCAACCTTGACAGCAAACTACTCTAGATGAAAACAGAAAAATTGGAGAAGCAGACTGGTAAAAGTTTGAATGAAATTGGATACAAAATGAGAAAGTTATGCATTTTTGAAAGTTGTAATCGCTATAGGTATGGGCTGTACAATTTGGCTGAATGAGTAATGTTTCTCTGTGATGTAGTATCTGACAACTTTCCCATTTGTTCCAACACACAAAATGACTAATGAATCAGTGTCCTTTTTAGCAGAAAAATCCATTTCTACCAACGCTGAAGGCCATCGTGAATGTAGGCCTCATGAATAGTATTCTTGTTTTACATGAATCATCTTGAATCATGGAGGAGAGAGAGAATGAGATATCATCACAAGAGGACAGAGAGAGAGAGGGGGGGGGGGGGGGAGGGAGAGAGGGATGAAAGGGGGGAGAAAAAGAGGAAGAGAGTGTGAAAGATAGAGAGAGAGAGAGAGAGGGCGTGTGTTTGTGTGGGTGGGTGTGTGTGTGGGATGGGTAGGTGTTAGTGTGAGGGGGAAGAGGGAGAGGAGAGGGAGGGATATATATATATATATATATATAGAGAGAGAGAGAGAGAGAGAGAGAGAGAGATAGGGGGTAGAGCACAAGGGTTTAGAGAGATGGATAAAGATAAAGAGAAAAACTAACAGAAATTGGCAGGATCCATTATCCCCCCAAAATGTTGCTTTTAAAGGATTTGTGAGGTTCATGCATTTCTTTTGCATCTGGCTGTCCAGGATATCAAATCTTGTTCCAGTTCTTTGAATGAAGAAACTTGAAAACATGAGATTGAGCATAAAAATCAAAATATCCTCCTAGAAAAGGAGAAAAAGAATTATCTTACTTGCTGGTATTAATGGGATTCATCTAGATGAGACCCGTTTGGTTTTAGGAAACATTGTCTTTCATTTTCTAAAAAGAAAATGACATTTAGATTGGAAATATTAGCTTGACTAGGAAGTATTTCAAGAAGAGAAAAGTTCTATCTGATCAGAGCCAGAAGGGCATTAATGCATATCATTGGACATTGAGTCAACAGCCTACTGGCTCTTAACAGACCAAGAAAGTAGGGAGGAAGCAGTAGTGGTGCGCTCGAATTGAAGAAACGCTCGCAAATAATTCACAAACATATTGAGTTGTTCTACTTGATTTCCAGTGGGAATGTAAATCTATATCCGGTTTAAATCAAGCTAAATATCATGGGAATACCATTTCTGAAAGATATCTATACATCTTGTACATATTTCATTGAGTGTTTACAATAGCAGGGGTTTTCCCTAAATCTGGTTCACACCGACATTTACATTGTAGGAGGCATTTATCATCTGCCGAGGTTTGGAAGGGCGTTAACTCATGATTTATTAATGCCCTTCTGGCTGTCAGCAGGCGATTTACAGCCTTCCCCCCCCCCTCTCTCTCTCTCTCTCTCTCTCTCTCTCTCACTCGCTGTTTCTGTAGCCATAAACATACCGTATATGAGCTTTCAGTCTGTAGAGAGCACTATAAAGATATCTTTCCTGTCTTTGTCTATATAGATGTACTTGATATCAATGACATCTCACCTGTTTTCTTCTTTCTTCAATTATTCTGAATGTTGCTAAGGCAGAGTATATTTAGATTTTTATTTCGCTAAGATATAGATTTAGAAAGGCCCAAGGTTTTAGAACAAAAGACACCTTTTTAGTCTAGTCCTATTAGATTGCAGAAATGTTTGTTGTTGTTATTTTTGTGTTGTTAATTATTTAAACATAATTTATTATTAATTACTATAACTTTCCTCTCCATTTCTTCTTCTTTTTGTTTCTTCTCTTTTTATAATTATTTGTGGTCACTTTCCTCTCTGTCTTAGAGTCTCTACCCTTCTCGCATCTCTCCCTCAATTTCTTTCTTTCCTTTTTTCTGTTTATTCCATTGTATCTCTTTCCTGCAATCTCTGTTTCTCACCGCTCATGCTAATCTGATTGATTATCTACCTTCCCCTCTCCCTTTGTGTGTGTGTGTGTGTGTGTGTGTCTCTCTCTCTCTCTCTCTCTTTCTCTTTCTCTCTCTCTCTTTCTCTTTCTCTTTCTCTCTCTCTCTTTCTCTTTCTTTCTCTCTCTCTCTCTATCTATCTCTGTCCAAATATTTCTATGTTTTCCATTTCTCATTCAGTCTCTCTCTCTCTCACCCTCTTGCTTTCTTGGTTCTCTGTGCCATATCTTCTCTCTCTTCTCTTCATCTACTACCCATCCCCCTTCTCTCTCTATCTCTCTCTCTCTCTCTGTTCCCCTCTCTCTTTCTAGATACATTTTTTTTTCTCTAACCTGTACGGCTACATGCACTCTCTTTTTCTCTCTCCCCCTCTCCCTCCCTCCCTCCCTCCCTTTCTCCATCCCTCTCCTCTCCTCTCCTCTCCTCTCCTCTCCTGTCCTCTCCTGTCCTCTCCTCTCCTCTCCTGTCCTCTCCTCTCCTCACCTCTCCTGTCCTGTCCTGTCCTCTCCTCTCCTCTCCTCTCCTCTCCAATCTTTCCACTTATCAATATTGCTAATGATTGTAGCCAATGTGTTATTGCCCCACTGGGCATGATACTGACCAATAACGACCACTTCACATTAAACCAGCCACACCATTCCATGGTGTAGATTGTACCATTATTCTAATTGGTAAAACGTGTCGATAGTAGCGCGTTGTGGACTCGCCTCTGCTGGCGTCTATACCAATCGAATCATGGTCACTGCCGGCAAGTCGGATCGAATCTCTTCAATCCCTTGAACCCGCACTAGGTGTGCTGGTGCTCATCTACACTGCCCTCATGAATGTTGCAGAAAGTACATGCCACATCCAGACCCTGCATAATGTTGGATACCCCCCGGGTGACCAATTATAAATGCATGTGTTTTCATTTAATCTTGAATCTCTGCTCCATGGGTACAAAGTCAATCCTTGATTTCTCTTTGCATTCATAACCTTGTTCTTTTTCAAGACTCCTCTCATGAAAGGATACTTCTGTTAATTTATCTACCTCTATCCATACATACCAAGTAGACCTCTGTAGGACGAAACCCCTCTCTCACTTTCTTTCTATCCCCTTTCAAACCCCACAGTCCTTTTCAGGACTACCCACATGGTGAAACATATGCATACATTTAACCTTGAAAGATCATCTGAATGTTTAATTTCATTTGTAATTTGTGCTCTATGTTTCAAAAGCTTTTGTTATCAACTTGTTCATTTCCGTTGTTCACATTTCTTGCTTTGACAGGTGAGTGATTTCTCTTGGAGTCATGATGGCCGAATGGCTCTCATCTGTTACAAGGATGGCTTCGTCCTGGTAGGGTCAGTGACCGGTCAACGCTACTGGTCATCTCTTCTTGACCTGGATGCCAAGCTGCTATGTGGGGCATGGGCACCAGATGATAAACAGGTAAGCATCAATGTATGTATGCGTTTGTTGATAAAGAAATGTTAATTAACCAAGAATCCCAGATACATTGCAATCTCATGATTCAGCGATGGAATACAATGTTCTGGAACTGAAAATAAGAGGCCATAATAACAGTCCAGCATTGGCACATATGAATTTACAGCTGTTTTTCCAAAGCAGGAGCTCCTCAGATGTAAGATAATTGCCTCAATAGCAAGGCAAAATATCATATAATCATTGGGATCACTTTTCACTTACAATGTTGATAATATTTCTGGACATGACATTTTTTAAACCTTCGTCAGTAAATTAATAATTTTCAAAATGAATGCAAAAAAACCAAAATCTTTTGTCAATTTTTTTCATTATTTCTTTATTAATTCCAAATAAAGATTTATCACTAGATAGTGTTAGATTCCTCTTTCCATTAGTATATTGTGTATTCAGAACCAGAAGGGTGTTTACTATGTGCTAAAGTACATATATTATGTTCTTGTATGCATGCTTGTACCTCATATTCAGATACCATATTGCAATGATTGAAAGAAGAGCATTTGAGATGGAATTAATCATTAATTTGCATGTACATGTTCATGTATATACCAAAACATACCATACGATTGTGTCAACATAAGTCTGTGTATAATGCATCCTTGTCAACTTAATCTTTGCTTTCGTCCATGGACTATATCGTGATTATGACTACCCGTACCAGTAATAAGTAATGTTTCATCTTGCCTTTTTTCCCATACACTGAATCTTGTGTTTGTGTGTGTGTAGCATTCTGTTTTCATATTGAAGCTTCTTTGCAGATAAGAGTTTACATGTAGAGTTGTTAGGTACACCCTAGTTGGGAAGAATTGAAGCGCGCTCCACATCAATGCAGCAGACACTACAAGCCCGGAGGAGGAGGAGATGGATATCAGATTTCTCCTTGCTTGCTTGCTTGCTTGTTTGTTTGCCTTATTTTGATGACAAACAGAGCAGAAGCATATTCCCTGGCTTAGTAGCTTGGAAGAAAAAACTTCCAAAGCGGGATTTCTTGAAGAGTATATAATTATACAATTCACACTCACAACCTCGCTTCCCTCTATCCCCATTTAATACATGTTTCTTCTTTTTATTTTTTTTGTTTGTTTGTTGTTTTTGCTTCTCAGTTCTACTTTTTATTTCTGTCTTGCTCTTTCTGATCTTTTAGTCTCTCTAAATTTCTCTGTTTGCCTGTCTTTCTTTTACTCTTTTGCTCTCTCTCTCTCTCTCTCTCTCTCTCTCATCTCACTGTCCAAGTCTCTTCCTAAGTCTCCAGTTATTAAAAGTCTCTCTTTCTCTTTAACTCCATCTCTCTATTTCTTACCATATTGCTTTCTTTTTATGTCTATATTTTGTCTGTTCTTTTTTTTTCTCTCTCTCTCTCTCTCTCTCTCTCTCTCTCTCTCTCTCTCTCTCTCTGTATATGTATCTTTGATCTTTCTCTGTCATCTATTTTCCTCCCTCCTATCTCTCTTTATATCCCCGCTCTTACTTCAAAGTATCCCTCTCCCTCTTCGTGCCCTTCTCTTTCTTTGTCTTTCTTCTGTCTGTCTTTTCTTTTTTGATTCTCTGTCTCTCAGTCTCTCTCTGTTACCATCTCACTCTCTATCTCATGAGCCCTATAAATGAGTCCTCTCTCCCATTTCTTCATGGTTATCAACTCAATCTATTCTTCATAGAATCACCAGAGACCAGAATTGCATTTTCAATGAGTGTCTGCGCCAGATATTTACCAATCTTTTGTGATCAATCCTATTTTTTGTAAGGTTATTTTAGCGATAAAAGTCCTTGGGGCATCCATTATGTGATGTTGCCTAGCAACCTCATCCTCAGTGGTGCATAAGCCTTGCATCATGTATTTCTTTGCTATTTTGTTCAATCTACATGTAGTGTTATTGAGTTGAAAAATGTCTAATGCCTTTCAAATCTTTGTACAGTCAGTATACATCTATTTCTTAAACCTATTTACCACTTACCCGGTTCTGTTCCTCTCCTATTGTTCTTATTATTTCCCAGTGCATCCCATCTGTACAAGAAATCAGATTTTTATTTTAAAGGAACCAGAAAATGATGATTTTGACTTCTCTGTCTCTCTTCCCTCTTCCTCTCTCTGTTCTCAAACAATGTTATTTTGTATGTCCAAGGGAGAACCATTTTATCTTCTTTCTTTTTTTAATTTTTATTTCAGGCTATTTTTAAAATGATTGTGCTAATCTTTGTGTGAATCGTCATTGAGTTCTCCTTCATGTATAATCTATCTTTTCAATCACTTCTCATTACTTCCCTCCACATCCCATCACATCACATCCCATCACATCACATCAAATGTACAAGAAACCTCAGAATGATTAAAAATAGAAAGAAAAAAAGAACCGAAGAAGAATAATTATACCTGCTTCCCCCTCCCCTCCCTCTCTCTCTCTTTCCCTCTTCTTTAATCAGGTTTTGCTGGGTACGTCTAAGGGGGAAATCGTTGTGATGGATATCCATGGCGCCTTGGTGACTCAGTGTAACCTAGCAACAGAGCGCCCCCTTAAGGCGCTGCTCTGGTCCTCGGAGAAGTTTCGGATGGTTAACATTGGAGACTGTGAAGGGGAAGACAGGAAGAAGAGAAAAGGTAACAAGTCTGTCACTGGATCAAATACTGGGGAAACATGGGACGGTCGTAAATAGAGTAATTTAATTGCGATATCCATCTTTCTTTTCTTCTTCCCTCCATTAAAATTGATTGCTTCTGTCAAATTGCACATGAATTTTCTTGCCATGTTTCCATTTTGTGAAAGATGGAAGCAACAAACTATATTATCAGCATATGGGGATTATCAACCAATTAAGCTCTACAAAGTTCTGAAAGAGATATTGTTGGTCAAGAAGACCTTTGATAAACTAAAAATGTGAAATTAAACATGAGGTAATTTCACTTTTACTGGAACAAGATGGAGAAAAAAATTCAAATCAAATTTCTGTATAAGCACTTGAATAATTAATTTCTATAAATCCATAACTCCATAAGCATCTGTGATAAGATTTTTGATAAATATTTGTGCATTATGAGTGTAGAGTGGAGATGAAATGTTGATTAGAGATTAATTTTGTATTCCCAGTCAAACCAGTAGGCTCTGACCAGGCATCACAAAGCCACACAATGATATTCTAGTTTAGCTCTGTTTCTAAAAGAGGATATTCTCAGCTTTAAAATGAGATAACTAGTCATCACAATTAGATATTTCTAACCCAGTGAATACAGAGAAGAATGTTCAGTCCCATAGAATGTCACTCCAGAGAAAGAAGGCATGTAAAGTGTGTAGTTTGCATTTAATAGCACTTTGACTTCCAAGGTTATGTGCAAGGGGACAAAGGGAGGATAAAAAACTTTCTAGAAATTCCTGTGGAGGAATCGTTAGCTTGTCCTAAGCACATCCCGTCAGTGACATCGAGAATGGTCACATACTCTTTCATGGGTATTTGTAGAAAAATTGTAGCTTGGAGAATGATAAAATAATATCTTTGATTGTGATAACATCAACAATTGTATTTTATGTTGTATATATGACTAAAATGGTGATAAAGATTTCTTCTCTATTTGTTGTCCACACACAAGTAGGCAGTGACAAGCGGAATCGTAGCAAGAGGAAGAGTCCTGTGATGGCGATAGATCTGGGAGACGGTGAGATCCAACTGATGAGAAGCCATGATGATCTCACTCCAATCTGCATCAAGACTGGAATGACAGGTTGGTTGGTAGTCAGCAAACATGGAGCAGAAATACATTAGAGATGATAATAATAATAGTGGAGTCTTGTATAGCGCTCATGTTTGGTACATTGCCACTAATGGCACTTTATTATTATTACCCTGGCTGTAGCATGGCTGCCATTAGAGCGCTCAAGCGTTTTCAAGAATTAATTCCTGCCAGCTATTCATTTACCTCACCTGGATGGAGGTGTGGCAAAATAATTTAGATTAATGTATTTCCAAAGACATTATTCTGTAACAGAGATAGAAACCCCATGCCTTGTGGTTCACAGTCCAGAGACCACAACAAATATAAGAATAACTTTATAACGGTTGATTACTAAAGGGAGATACGGATTCAGGGCAATATGTCCCGTACGGTATAAACATTTATTCATATGATCTATAAATGAAAATCTCTTGGTAATGACCTTAGGGCATTATCATGGTATAGTGATTCAGTCACTTTCTCTCCATGATAGGGTCACGTTCTATGATCCTACAGGACGCCTTCAAATTGGCAACATACTAACGTACAATTGTTTATCTTGTTTGATATATAAAGCAGCTGTAAAGATGGAGTGGAGCGGATGTGGCAGTTTCCTAGCTGTGGGTGGAACTCAGCCAGTAGAGAGTATCAGTGCTGTCAAGTTCTACGATACGACCGGACACCTTCGGTTTACACTTAACATTCCATCCCAGGTAGGAGCTATCTCAGGACTGCATTCAAATGTCAGCTTTTGAAGAAAAACACGCTTTAGTAGTACTACCATAATTGTATTTAAAGTCATTTACATTTGAGCATTTCAAGTGTTATAAGTGGTAGATAATAATTAATAATTAATAATTATAGGCATTTCTATAGCGCGGTCTATCTAGAAATTCTATTCTGAGGCCATATTACAGTGCTCCAGCATTTCAAGAGAATTAATTTTGTTTGAAATTGGTTGTAAACAGATTTTGAAGAAGAAGAAGAAGAAGAAGAATTGATAGTTATTCACTGTATTCTTGTTTCTTTCTTTCTTACAATTTTTGGCTCCCATGTTCCCTTGTTGATTTCAGAGACCACTGTCTGCTTTGACCTGGGGTCACAACGACCAGCGTCTCTTTGTGGCGTGCGGTTCCATCCTCCACGTAGCATGGATAGAGAAGGGCGTGGCACCTCTGCAGGTGCTGTGTAGGGAGGTCATCCAGCCACTCACCAATGAGGAGAAGCTGATTGCCAAACTCCCACTGCCTCTCAGACTCAGGAATTACGTCTGCGAGAGATTGTCACTCACTATAAAGGTATCATTTTGGATTCTTCCATTGTACTTGGGTATCATGATGTAAGCAACCAGCCATGCAAAGGTCAAAGCCCATCACAAACACACATAATTATAATCTTGTTAATTATTGAATGACATTATGAAGATAATGGTTAGTTATTTATTCTGGGGATGTGGTTTGGGGGGGGGGGGGGGGGGTGGTCTTAAGCTCTGTGCTATAAGATACAGAAATATGAAGCGTATTATGCTTGCATCATTAAAAAAAAGCAGCAGTTTACCACCTTGTATCTGAACTAACCATTATCTTCATAATGTCATTCAACACATACAATAGGTGTATTTTAGCATCAGATATATAATCACCATAATACCATGTATGCTCATTGAGAAACAAAGGCCCAATTCACATGGAGGATATCAATTGATCCATGGTGTAAACTATGAGTTGTATAATCCATTTTATCTTTTAGCTTTAATTGCTGTTCTGTCATGCATTGTCCCAATTCTTCGGTATAAGTGGACACTTCCACATGATAACCATGTGTGCTCCACACCTTTCTCATGTTGCATGTATTAATAATGTTTAAAGGTAATACAAAGTTTTGGTATGAGGTCATGAATTTGGTTCAAATGAACATATTGGAATCATATGCGATCCTAAAATATTCAGTGATCGTTGTCGCGGTTGAAATTAAGTCTAAAGTTATGAAATTGTAAATAATAAACTCTTTATGTTGTGTACCTCCCTCTCAAGGTCAAGATATTAATTAAGCTATAAAACAATGTTTCTTGACTAAAATTGACCGATTAGCTATTCCCGGGTCGAAATTATATATCACAACTACATATTCTGAGATTTTCATGGTCGCAGCTACCATTTTACGGCCCTAGGCCCTATTTGAAATTTATCAAAATTTACTGGGAGCACCGGTTGATTTTTATATTCAATTTTTTCTTGAAAGCAGATGTGTTTTAGGAGCTAAATTTTCTAGTGCTTACAATAAATCCACAGGGGCAGCCACATATATCAAAATGGTAAAGAATCACAATCTACCTAATTTTCAAAATTTCCCAAAACTTTGTATTACCTTAAATTACTGGGTCTTTTTGTGGATAGATAAGTGATACATAACAACATTTGAGCAGCAGATACCTGAATTGTTCACAAGTGCACAATATATACAACCCCTCCCCCAACAAACAAAAGAACTCTAGTGGATAAAATAAGCGTATAAAACCTGTATATTGCCTCTTCCTCAAAGGTACTATGTCCCATTTGCAGGCCAATAAAAATGAAAAAGCTAAATTCCAACTGCATTTGAAAGATAATACTAATTTAGAACTTCCCTAAAAAAGGTGGGGCTTGAAAATGTCTTCAAGTGGGAAAATAACGACTGTTAGTTGTCAAATCGACTTTAGGGCTATAGAGCCCAAAAGTAATAGTCTTGATTTTCAGACAATTGTACCGAATGGTCATACGTTTTATGCTGCGCAAAGATTCAATCAGTTTAATCTTGGCCATCCAAAGAAGTGGGTTATGGATGTAGACAAATGCCCATGTACCCTTTACAACTCTTTTCATGTATGTTATTTATACCAAAGAAGAAAAAAAAGCCAGTCAGTCACTCAATAGTGTCTGACAGTGAAGTCTAGCAAGGAAACGGGTTTCCTTGCATAATTTGAATATGAGGACACTGCTAACATTTAAATTTCACAGATAGGACATACATGACATATTCATAATTCCTGCAAAGTTCTACAGCATTTGAGGTTGGCTGCAAAAGGGACATAGTACCTTTAAAAGAACATGCATATACTTCTCTTTTTGAAGTTTAAACCAGGGTTGAAAATTTACTTGCTGAGTTAACATTTTGCTGTTTTTGTCTTGTATAATTGTTTGCTTCTAACCGCTTGTTTGATCATGATTTGTTTGTATCTTGTAATATACTGTTGATATTGAGTTTTATTTGTTTGTTAATTTACAGGTCCTTGTTGTAAAAAACAGTGTAGCAATCACTGATGAAAAAGATTTAATGAATAAATGAAATGAAGGGTTTAATTGAAAGTGTACAAATCACCTGAAAAAATAATTTGGGTAAAGGTAGAATATATAGAATCAAGTAAATCAACATAGTTTTTGTTGTTATAGGTAGTTGGTTAGGGAGTATGAAGAAAATAAAGGATTAACATAAAACCCTGCATATCAGACTTGGGTTCCGTGCATAAAGGGATAGTTGAGTTCTGTTGCAGAGGGCGCTACGCAAAATAATTTTTTTGTGAGATAATGAAAAACTGAGTGTCAAATTTAAAAGAACATAATATTTAAATGACAAAATCATCTTTGTTTGATCAAAATCGGTTCAGAGACGGCTGAAATATAACGATTTCTAATACTTGTCTACCACTTCAAATGTTAGATATTTTGAAAAATTTGAAAAATTTGAAAAAAAATGTTGAAAAAACGGTATGCTCACATTGGCTAAATTTCACACATTTTGGGGTCTAAAATTACCTTCATAGCAACTTTAGGTTCTAAAAAGGCACTAGAAATGTCATAGATAAGAATAAGAGCGATAACCATGCACTTTGAAGGCATTTACGGTCTGAAAACAGAACTCAACTATCCCTTTAAGCAGTCTACTCAACTAGACATATTACAGTTCACTAGGAGTGTATCTAAACTGTAATATATCTGTGTAGATGAAATATGAAACTCTTAGTTTGTCTACAGTATAGCAAAATAGAACCCCTTGCATCAAGAGCAAAACATGACTGTTTTATAGAGATTAGTACATTTTAAATTTCTTCTGTGAATTATGTCTGGTGTAAGATGTGAGACGAGTCTTGTGTTTTCTTTCTTCTCACAGGGATGCATTCCAGATCCAGCCAAGCTCAGAGAGTTTGTCAGTCAGCCTCCACCAGGTAAGAAATAATTTCATACTTTAAAAGGAAAACATTTGAGAGTTGAGACATACCTTTGAGAAATAAAAAATACATGTACTTACATGTATATTGTCATTGATCTGACAGTTGTTTGGGGTAATACTCAGGAGGAGGGGGGGGGGGTTGTTTTGATTACATTATTACATCCATTTTCCTCCTCTGTGGTAAGATACAGCAATCTCCTCACTGGATATTGTACATACACCTGTAGCAACGGAAAGAGAATGGAATTTAAATTGCTGTATTTGGGTCCACAATGTATTCTACTGTAAAGTTATTTATTATCTTTTCTGTAGGCAACGAAAGACTTCACTGCACAATGGTACGGACCGAGTTTGATTCAAGAACGGGAAGTCCATGTTTCACCCTCTTTCTGGAGTTCCTAGGGGGGCTTGTACCCCTCTTGAAGGGACGTAGGATAAGCAAGCTCAGACCAGAGTTTGTAATATACGACCCAAAGACGATACCAAAGAGTGAGTACACATTTCTGTATTTAAAGGTAAAGACCAGTTTTGGAAACGTCCCTCTCTCAAAAAATGAAATGGAAGCTTTTATTACCAATCATGTGAATGAATATGTTTGGTCTAATACGTAATGATACAGATTTTGCTGAGAAACCGCCTACTAATTGATATATTTGGTAAAATATTATATCTATTTGGACCTGATAGATATAACACACGTGTCGCGCACGTGTCGCGTAATCCTATATACAACTTTCTGTGTACAGTGCTTGTAACTTTACCAAGACTGGGCCAAATTTCCTATCATTTTGATGATTCCAGAACCTTGCAGTACACACCTATACTTTTATGCTAGATGATCAACCTTTTTCTGATCGATTCCACAATGTTTCTTTCACAATGCAATCGCGTGACCATAACTGGTCTTTATCTTTAACACATAGTCTACTGAATTCTATCATACCTTTACCTTAATGCATGAACCATCCTACTCTGTAGGCAATAAGGTAACATCAATATTGTTTAAAGCCGCACTGCACTAGAAGCACTCATGCAAAATCTCCTCTAGCGCCATCTCAGGTCAGCTGTAGCAGTATGGCTGCGCTGTGGTTCCGGCATCGAGTCCTCTGTCTGCATGGCGCGTTGAGTAGTCTACTCACAAGTGGCTTTTATGTTAATTGAGAGTGTATTAAAACTTGCTAAATCCCTTTACTGAAGTAATGTAAGAAGCTCATATTTTGAAGAAAGCTAATGTGGTTAGATTAGCAAGTGTGCGCTTGTAAAAATGATGCCTGGTTGGAATGCTCCCCAGGGAGTGGAGAATATGCATACATTGTGTGCAGGTAAGCCTGAATCCGATGACCCAGGTAATAATATATATATATATATATCTGTAAAGTGCTTTGAGAGGGCCTTCGGTCCTGAAAAGCGCTATATAAGAACTAGCTATTATTATTATTAACATGGAACCACTAACCAACAGAAAAAAATATACATGTATAGCACACAAAATATACACATAATATACACCAAGTATTTGTTGGTAATGGGTATATGTACATTTTTACCCATGATATACCATTTGGTTTCGATATGACATAATGTCCATTGAGCCTAGCTCAAATTATAACAGCCCTTGTGGTCAATGGGGTAAGGATTCATTTAACATCATTTTTCTCTTGCAGGTAACGATGATGATGGGGGTGTCCCTACTTTCATGAGTTCAGATGACAGCTCGTGTACGGATGACAGTGACGAGGACCTGATGTGCAACATGCGACGCAAGACGGACAATCGTAACAGCAGCAGTAGTCCCAAGCCCAGGGACAGTACGCAAAGTGCATCGGACTCACCCAGGCTCAAGGAGAAGGAATTTGACAGCTTGTTTCTTGATAGTTTACCTGAGGTTTGTCCCTTGATTATTAAACGATAACAAAAAAGTTGTACCTATAGATTGCCGGTTAAAAGTTTTTCTAGATCGCCCTGGTGCCATTGATTAACAGAGTTTGTCCAATCAGGGGCCCGTTTCATAAATCTATAACAACTGCTAAATTTTGTATGACAAATTTGCTCTCAGCCAATCAGATGCCATGATTTCAGTAGCTTATAACAGTAGCTTGTAACTTGTTAATGATATCAAGTTTTATGAAACGGCCCTGGTTCGAGTGAGGCAATATGGCGAATACTGCTTTGCTAGGCAAGCAAAACACAAAGGAATATAGGCCATCTTGTGACCAACTGAAACCAAGTTAAACAAACTCTGTGTATAGATGGCTGATTGCTGGTGTGAACTAAATGAGTGCCAGTGGACCTCCCTGGCGCATGCTGTCATGATTGCAGGACCAAAAGTTTGCCCTTGTAGTGAGAACTTGATCACTGACTTCCCAATCTGAGTTGCCTCTCAGAGGTGTTGCCTACACTTTCACTTATCACTGATCTTCAAAGAATAAGCACATGTCCCAAAATGTGCATTTCACTGCCTACATCAGTCACTCTTTGGTGATGTTGGCGGACATATCCCTATTTTTCCCATCTTGCACTCCTCAGGGTATATTGTCTGCCGGGAATCAGTAGAAAGTAGACGTTAAGTCCACCATTCAATGAGAGAGGGTGTAACAGTGCTGGCAAGAAAGAACAACACACGATTCTTCATAAAGTCTTTCTGCTGTCAGCACAGAATGTGATTTACTCTGATAAGTGCAAGACCAAAAAGCTTTAGAATGTCTGTATGTGTTGCTATTCTTCAACTTTGTGGTACCAATCATCTCTTTATCATTATTATTTTTTTATTGTTTTAAATTTTATTTCATTTCCAGGCAAGATGATAACATACAAAACATCACAAGGTTGACAAATGATATATCATAAACATAATGATATTTAGCACCAGCCAATGCCTGAGGATCACCTACAAAAATTTAAAGATTCTGTCTAGAGGCTCTCCACATTGGCTGGTGCATACATAAAACAAAATATAAAGATGAGGTCAACATAATTTCTAAATGAATGTGTAACTAAAACTAACGGTAATATACATGTAGATCAAATTATTTGTTGTTCTTGTGCACAGCGCAACCCTCTGGTGGAGGTCACGTCCAACATCTGGGGCACGAAGTTCAAGATCCACGGCCTGGCTGAATTCCTGCCAGCTAACCTGGGCCAGATCAACTACAGGACCAGCCTTCTTCATCTCCAGCCCAGGCAGATGACCATCGCCCTGGTGGAACTCAAGCCAGAGTTCCTGCGTTGTCGGCAGGATGAGGACTCTGACTATGATCCTAATGTCTTCAGTGAAGATGATGATGATGTCCAAGGTGAGGATCAGTGCTAGGACCTGTTTCACAAAGCCTTTTTTCAATGACAAATGACAAATATCAGTGACAGATCTGCTGATAACCAATCAGAATGAAGGATTTCAGTAGCTTATAACAACAACTGTCATTTGTCACTGATGACAAGTTTTGTGAAACACCCCCCCCCCCCCCCCCCCCCCAGTTCTGAAACTCTGTTATGGATGATAATTAGGTAGCTTAACGAAATGTAATGGCACGAAAAACATGCATCCGGAACGCAATATGCATAATTGTTGGAAATGAAACTTTGATTATATAGAGGTAGAAGCACATCGTGAGGATACAGAGGTGGTAAATGCATGTGCTTTCTCGATTAGGCTTAATCCTACCTAATTTGTGTTCAGATATGAACCAAAAACATAAACTTTTAATTTACACACATTGCTATTACGCCTGCTGTGTTCCTCACATGCCTTGTCGTGCCTTTTCGTGCCATTACATTGTCAATTCGCTCTCAATTCTGTAGGAAGTTTATTGTTAAGGCAAATATGATTTGTGTTGGTTTTGGTCAGTTTTGCCTGGCTAGAGAGTGGCTAGAGAGTGGGACACTGGGATAGAATCACCCTTTAGTGAAGATATGTTGTTGTTGTTGTTTAGGTAAGAAAAGTTGTCTCAATGACCTGTAAGCCCTTGTTAACATTGCTCTTCAATACAGATGACAACAATGTAGTGTCTGATTTTCTGAATTGGGGGATAGTCCTTCATTCATGAATTTGGTAATATCTTGTGTGTTCTGATGCAATGAATAAGGTTCTTCAGCCCCTGCACGCAATTACTCTCTATCTGTTTTAAGGACATGTTTATTTCTTTAAAAAGTTTTGAAAACACATGCAGATACACATGAGATGGTCTCTTTAGTGTTGATCCCAGAAATACATTTTGGATATTTCTTTTGGTCCCTCAGTTCTGCTCTGTGATTATTGACGTTAACATTGTGTCATCCTTCTCTTTTGTGTAAGATGTCGTGAAGAGTCCCCCTCTTACCAAGGCAGCAGCAGCACCCATCGCACCGATGACATCCACAAACAGGAGCTTCTCAGACACCATGGATTCCAACAATCACAACCTAGTTAGTGAGCTGACTCAACAGAATAATGCCGAAAGTCAAACCGTTGAGGAGGGAGAGACTGATTCGATTCCACTCTTAGCAGAGACCACGAGGGAGGAGTACACACAACAGGGTGCTATTCCCAAACAGAGACTAGTCTCACAAGGAAGACGCAAAATAGAATCGGAATGTGGGTCAACAAGCATAGGGGGTGGTCGCACGGGACCGCTCGATGTCGTGACGGATGTTCGGGTGATGAATGGCGGAGCGGAGGCGTTAGATGAAGGAATTATCTTACCGTCCGATGTACAAGGCGAGGAGGAGTTACAAACAGACTTGCCACGTTGGGCAGATACTGCCCCCAGACATTCGCGGCCTGGTCATTTATGTGACGGTCCTGGTAGCAACAGCCAGTCTCCGAAGCGAATAGCTCGGAGAAGAGAACATCATGAATCCAATGGTCATGGGTCTGTGAAGGACACCGATGTAAGACATGTAGCAATAATGAATGGTAGCCCTCAGATAGATAAAGTGCGTAGAGCACCTATTAGTGTGGATGAATCTGATCTAGACTTGTCAGAGCCAGTCAGAGCATCCTCACCAAAGCCTTGTCAAACTCCAGTGGATGAGAAGGGAAAGGAGAAGAAACACACAGCGTCATCGCCTCAGACAAAAACAAAGAGGTCAAAGTTAAAAGGTCGGAAAGCAGAAAATGGTCAAGAAGGGGCGGCCACCGAGAAGCAAGGGTCGCCGAAACTCTCCGGCAGCGCCCAGGAAAATTCATCAGGAAAGAGTCGCAAGTCCTTACGCAAGGCATGGTCCAACTCTGACCGCTCGCCCTCCAGGTCGCGGATGAAATCACAGGGAGAAAACTCTGACAGTGATGCAGAGAATCAAAACGCCAACGAAGCGGGTGATTCGTCAACAGCGAGCAGTGCAAAGTCAAGGAAAGCCAAGCTGATGAAGCAGTACGCTAACTGCAAGTCAAAGGTGTTTGTCATGCATAACAAAGCCCCCTTGTGGAACGAAAACACACAGGTTTATCAACTGGACTTTGGTGGCAGAGTGACCCAAGAATCAGCCAAGAATTTCCAAGTGGAATTACTTGGGAAGCAGGTAGGACACAGATTCCTGTATATTATTCATTCATTTTGTAAAAGAAGAAAAAAGGAAAAATGAAGGTACCTGTTAAGAAAGTCTCGCCATTCTGTTTCTTAGATGTACAAGTTACTCATTCTTATTTCATACAGAATGTATGAATTGTTTTTATTCCTATAATCATTGATTTTGATGACTTGATCTATAAAATTGAAGTATTTGCTTTCAAGTTGACTGTTGTTCTCTAAAGGTACTTTTTTTTGTGAAGTTGCAATCAATCGAACACAAATTGGCAACTCTGTGACGTATCTTGCGAGCTCCCCTCCTATTTGCTCTGTACAAAAAAGAATCTGAAACTTGTTATTTTCCCTCAAGAAATTTTTCAATCATATGCACTCTATTACTATATTTATTGCAAATATATTACTACATATCCCCTTTATGGATAATATCTATTCCGTCATCAGTAACAAAGAAAATGAAAGTTTATGACATTTTATGTACAGAGCAAATAGGAGAGGAGCTTGCAATATAGTCACAGTGTTTTCAATTTGTGTTTGATTGATTGCAACTTTAAAAATTCATAACTTCCTTATTTTCAATGGGGATATTATGTGCATGCATAATACTTTAAAAAAACTGTATCATTAGTAGAAACGCTTAAACATAAAGTTGAGTTCTGGTCATGTGATTGCATTGTCAAAGAAACAGTGTGGAATTCATAAGAAGAGGTTGATCATCTAGCATATAAGTATTGGTGTGTACTACAATGTTCTGGAATCATCAAAATGATAAGAAATTTGGTTCAATCTTGATAAAATTACAAGCACTGTACACGAACATGTAGCATAAAAATCTGTCCAGATTTTTATGCTGTTACATGCCATATTCAGAATATTAAGGCATTTGAAGAGCCATGCTTTTCAGGGAACATTTTTTCCCTGTTGTTCTTCCATACTTGCGTAATAACAATGATAATGCTCACATATTATTTTTCACCTCTTCCCAGAACTCAAGCTTCTCTTTAACTTTTTGGTGAGATCGCAAATTTACACAACTTGTTCTTTGCTCTCTTCTGCCATCCTATCCTTGCACCCCACTGATCCAGGTGATGCAGTTCGGAAAGATAGATGGCCAGGCCTACACCTTGGATTTCCAGAGTCCTTTCTCTGCTATCCAAGCCTTCGCAATCGCTCTAGCAAATGTGACCCAGAGACTGAAATAAGATGGCGCTCTGGCGAAAGTTTGGATTTCCAGAGCTCTTTCTCCGATATCGAAGCCTCCGAATCACCCTTGCAAATGGGACCCAGAGACTGAGGAAATGCTGTTTGAGATTAAGCCATCATTGTTGTGGAAGTTTGGATTTCAGAGCGCTTTCTCTGCTTTCCAGGCTTTTGCAATAGCTTTTGCAATTGTCATCTGGAGATGGTAGAAATGCTTTCTAAGGTTTGGCCGCTGAGAGACTGACATTGGGAAAGGACTTCGCCATCACTTCTGCAAACCCAAGACAACTCTCCTAAACCTCTTATGGCAGCCGTGCTAAAGCCAGGGTAATAATCGGGAGCGCCAGGAGTGTCAAGTCTGACAGACATGAGCGCTATACAAGAACCAACTATTATTATTATTATTAAGTTCAAAATGGATCTGGATGATGCTCAGAGAAAGGGTACGGGATCAAGGATGGTGAGAGGAGATCTGAACAGAAAATAGTTGTACAGATACACAGAGGACTGGGACCTGGAACAAGCTCTGTCAAAGTGTTAGCATAGAATGAACATCATTTCAGTGAAGCACAAATCATGAAATTAATTCAGAACATTTGTAGTGCCCATGCTTAGTTTATTTAAATGTACACTTACAGTAGAAATAATACATTCAGTGCTAAAGGACAAACATCATCGTAACCTATATCAAACTTGCCTTTTCATCCCTCTGAAAAATTACCCATATTAAAATTCATGAAAGCTTCTGTATTAAATCTCACGCAACTATACAAGATTAAGGAGGGATGGAGGTAGCTCATTGATATACAATAGCATGAAAAGACATGTCCAGAAAGCAAAAAGGCCAATGGATTATGAAAATTTGTAATTTGAAATATATATATATGACATTTTTGGTAATATTGAGTGTAAACAAGGTTGGATAGATATTTCTTGATCCTGTGAGCTATAAATATGGTTCTGTCAAAATGCCATGAAACTAAAATTTAGTAAACAAGTATTCATTTTGCATTCTGGACGTGTCTCTCCGTGACACTATATTTTGGTAAGCTACCTTAGTGATGCAAGGTGTAAGTATTCCTTGCTGTCTCTCGCTCCCCCTGTTTATTTTATTCAGCAATTTTTTGATGGGTGCCCAATGGATCACAGTGGGACAAATTTAGAGTAAAATTGCGGTGTCTGAAAGTTTGTGATGTGGATCTCAACATAGCTTGGTGATATCAATATCATTACCAGACTATTCATGGTTGCACAATTGTTTTTGATGCATTGTTTATACAGCATCTCGGTGTCTTAAACACACAAAAAAACGTAAGTCCCCCCCCCCCCCCCCCCCTGAGCAACACATCCTAATTTCTGAACCGCAAAAGTTTTGATCAAATCTACTTAGAAGTGACTGTCTGTGTGTGTTTCTCATTTAACTTATATCTGAAAATCAGAGTTATCCATGAGGTCATGCTAGAATGAGCTTTCTCTTAAGACACAATAATCACATTACAACATTCACAAGACTTTCATTTCATCAGTGTACTGATTTGAGAGATGGTCAATTTTCTGACTGTCTGCTGTTTGTGCATGCATTGGAACAGTTAATGATGATCACAAAGTTGCCATTTTCATTGCACACATGTATGATGTGTTAATCTATTACTGGCCACTTAACGCTATTTCTTTGTACTGCAGAAAACCCTTTCAATGAATTGTCTTGAAAAGTTGGTGAGATAAAAGTGAAATAAGCATGAATGAAGTCTGCTTTACTTTGAAGCGGTGAGTCTGCTGCATTTAGCAGGGATCAGCAAAATAACGGAACCTTTCCAAATTTATATCAGCAAAAAGCTCTTAATACCGGACACTAATTTGTCAATGAACTTTAATTGAACACTGAGATAAAAGTAATTTTTGTTTTATATGAATTACGATTCCAAACGATCGACAAAATCATTATTGTCTACACTGATATACGGCCATTTACGGGTGTTCGGTATTAAGAGGTTTCTGGTTTGGGTTAATGGGGTTAGTGACCATATGTGCTATGTTAAGGATGTCACAGTGCACTATGGGCCATTGCTATTTGTATGCTGTATGGTATGAATTGTGCTTAAATTAAAAAAAAAATCTGAAGCTCAGTGGTTTGAAGTAGATATACGTTTATGCATGTACTTCCTCTTATCAAGTCCAATACCAATTAACATTCATCACAAAAAGTGAAAAAAACATTTCATGATTACCTGTATTTCTCATGTTTTTTTCTTTGTTTTTCTTCAAATACAGTGTATCTTAAGGAAGCATTCTTTTTGCAATACATAAAAAATGAAGCTTCACCAGTTACATATATTTGCATCCAGTATATACATGCCTATTTTGTTTAAAGTACTTCAAAATTAATATTTGAAAAGTTAATTGTGAAACCAGCTATTAAACACACTGAAGTTCCATATCAAAGCAAACATGTAGATTTTAGTTTACATTTACTTGAGATTGATTACAATCTGTCACATTATGATTTTGATTTTGAATTTGGAAGTAATCCATTTTTGTTTTGTTTGTATAAATCATTGCTTGCATTTTGATAATGAGATTTCTTGGACTGTAAGTTTGGGAGAGTCAGCATTTTGATCATGTGTTGTTCATGGGAAATGTATACACTGTAGATATGCTATCATGCTGGTGAAACGCTTGGGTACCTTAGCGATATGTAATTAAAAGTTTTGTTTTGATATAAAAGTTTAGCTTACATTAAGCCTTGTCAAGATGGTACATGCATTTACCAGCTCCATATCCTAACGATTTAGTTCTACCTCTGTGTGATGGATGAAATTAGGATTTTCAACAATTATACAGTTTGCGTTCTGGACGCGTCTTTTCATGCGACTATATTTGGCTACCGGTAAGCCGACTTAGTATTTTGTTTAATTGGTTTAAAACTTGTATATGCTTGCTCTTGTGTTTTGCCTACCACTGCAATTCAACAGAAAGATGTGATTGCGTTTCGGTGACACACGCTATGGCGACAATTGCTCCGCGCTCTTTTTCATATACCGGTACTAGCCAAATTCCTAACATCAACCCTGTACCATGCACTATACATTTAATTACATTATATTACATTTCATTACATGTACATGTAATCTTAATGCCCAAAGCCCTGTCCAGGGACTCACAAGTTACACAAACTATTTCAAGCTACTGACACTATGAACATGACGAAGAAAGAAAGAGGACAAAATATACAGTTCCTCAGGTAGACAAAGGAACATCCCTTCACTGCTATTTTGTAAAATGAGTAAAACAGGTGAATATGCATGTGACACCTGTTCTACACATTTTTACATGATAGCAGTGAAGGTATGTTCCTTTGTCTACCATAGCAATTGTTGAGGGTAGAATCTTTGTCCGTCATGTTCTTAGTGATGAAATCACTGCCTTTGATTGGCCATTGTTATTGGTAGTATGGTTTTTTCCAAAAGAGGGTTCAGATATGAAGCGGTAAACCATTGCATTGTTTTTTGTTGCTGTTTTTTAATTTTATTTTTCATTTTTTAAAAGAAACGTTACAGTAAAATTCTTCACATTTCTGTATCCTTTGGCAAGGCATTGGTCTACATTTGCCACACTCAACCGAGGTGATGTAAATGGGTACCTGGCAGGAATTAATTCCTTGAAATGCTAGAGCGCCGCAATGGTAGCACAGCTAAAGCCGGGGTAATAATCTCCAAGTTTGGAAGCGCTTAGTGATTGTAAAAAGCGCTATATAAAAACAGAGTATTATTATCACACAGAGCTCACTGAATAAATGTATGTGTAGGATCTTTGTTGCACACATTACATGTTTTGAAAATAATACCATAGTTTACCACAGCCTATCTGAACAAGACTGAAAGGGAGTCACTCGTCAGTTTCCATGTGCAGAAGGCCATAATTCGCTGACTCCAGACTTGGTGGAAATACCATTAATGGGAGTACAAATCTGCACACAGCAAACCCGTTGGCCAGTCAAGAATCTCCCCTAATCTCTCGGAAAATACTCGAGAGTGACTCGGTGAGGGAAAAGCAAAGCATTACATAAGGTCTAATGGTCATAAAACTGAAGGATAACCCTGGTGATTGACAACGCCTGTTCTTGGGTAAACATCCGAACGATGTCGAATTCCCCGTGAGAGCTGACTACTGAGTGTCTTTAACCCTAAACCAAATGAAAAAATCCATTGCAATCCTCAACCTACATGTATATATACACTGTATCTTCATTATAGATATAAAAGCCCACTGGGGCTGGCCAGAGCATGTGTTGCTGTAGTTGACCATGTTCACTTTTAAAGGAAACTTCACCCCAAGAAATAACTTTACTTTTTCTGAGAGATTTACTATATCCTTGCCCATTAATCTACAAGATTCCCCTCCAAAGTGTGTTAGATAGGCATAGAGCAAGAATAATGTACAGTTTCTCAGCACTACATGGGCACCGCCATTTTCTTCATAACGTGACGTACTTTGTGAAGTCGTTTATCAAGTAAATGTATTTAAATTTATGGATGCTTCCTTCCCAGGTGTGTTTTGTGATGAAGCATTTCATTCACCTGCTATTATCCTTTGTAAAATTGCCAGAACGCAAATTGCATAAATTAGTTGGTGCTCTTCTGGTGTGAAGGTTTCTCATAAACGAAATAGATTTTTCAACTGCTATATTTTAATATTTTAGAATAAATTAGTTACTATTGTTCCCCTGTAATATATTTTTTGCCAAACAAAATTTCTCAGCTATGATTTTTGTCTTGCCTGCGTAGCAAAAAGCGAGACATAGGCGCTGCTTTTCCGGTGACGGCGACGGCGGCGTCGACATCAAAAACTTAACCTAAGGTTAATTTTTTGAATTTTTGATATAATTTTGAAAGTATAAGTTCTTAGTCAATGAAACTTTGGCTATAGGGTAATCAAGTATCCCCAATCATGTGAGTAGAATTTCAGATCACAAAGTCAAGGTCAAAGGTCATTTCAGGTCAACAGACTTGGACTATGTTGTGGCATCAACATCAAGATTTTCAAAATGCTTCTTCTTCGTTATTTTTCAACCGATTTTGATTCTGATTGTTTCATATGATAGGGCTAGGAGGGGGATTTATATTTCTACACAGAATCGTGAAATTCATTATCTATGCTAATTTATGCTAATTTATGCAAATTTATTCGAAATCACAAAAAAAAGGCTTCTTCTCCTTCATTTCTCGACTGATTTTGATTTGGTTTGCTTTATATCGTAGAGCTAACTTTGGTACACTAAACTTCTACACAAAATTTTGAAATTGTTCTCCATTAATTAATTATGATAATTTATGCAAATTTATTCAAAAAATAACAAAAATTGCTTCTTTTCTCTCATTTATTGACCGATTTTGATTTGGTTTGCCTTATCTGGTAGAGCTAAATTTGGAACACTAAACTTCTACACAGAATTGTGAGATTTTGTTCCATTGATTATTTATGGTACTTTTTGCAAATGAAATGAAATTATGTCACTTCCAGGGCATCAAATTTTATTTTTTGACCACTTCAAAAGTGTACCACATAAAATTTACGATATTTGTTGTTGCGAGATGCGGATGAGCGCTACGTCATTGACGTTCTGGTTTATCATAATGAATAGCGTTATGTAGGCGAGACCGCCGAGAGCGTTTCCCTTGTTTCTCTTTGAAAAGTAAAGGTTTTGTTATTGATTTATTAAAAGTCTTTCCAACTAAAGCTTGGTGCCATGATACATGTACAACTTCAACTGATACGTCACATTTCAAGAAAATGGCAGCACCCGTGTCATGCCAAGAAAACCTTCATTTATATATATATATATCTTGAATATTTTTGTAAGGAATACCGGTAATGTACATGAAAGGGCAGGAATAAATCTCATTTTTCAGAATACCTTCACTTATTCTTTGGGGTGTGGTTTCCTTTAATGTTTTACTCACAACTGAACATAAAGTGCAATCATGACAAGTCACAACAATTTGAGACTTTAAAGGATTATGACGAGAATATATCGACTGGAGTTCACCTAGTTTGTTTCATCATATTTTTGTTTGCCCTGTGTAATTTATGTGTAATATCAATCGTCACATTGAAGTAATTTCTATTTTACTGGTACATGTATATACTTTTATGAGAGAAAAAGAGTCGTATAAAACTTGCCCAATTATCAACTTTTCAGTTGTCCTATAGAGTAAAGATAGATTTATATGTATGTGTATTAGCATACAGTTCCTTGCCAGACAAGTGACTTCAATCTACCAGCCAGATTTGTTGTAGTTGCCATGGATGATTGGGAAGGTTATTTTGTACATCAGTGATACAATATTATGGAAATCTGATGAGTACAAATAATACAGCTACATGTATTAGAAACATATTGCAGGAATCTGATGCATGGGGTACATGTAGAAGTAGTATTCACATTGACTCAAACTTCCAGTACTTACTGGGCTCAACAATTGGAGGGATAATGCCAGTTTTATGAAACCCATTCTTCCTTTTATTGTAGGAACAGATAATTTGATTGTATTAACCCTGGAATAGTTTAAATGGAGATCTAGATAATGCACCTACTGTGTCGGTCTACAGTTTTGAAAGCGGTGAGGACAAGTACTGGAGAAGTTAACAAATGTACAAATGCAATGCTAACCCATCCGTTCATGATCCGGCCAATTTAAAACACTACAGAATTTGGAACTCTATATAGAGGCTTATTAATATTAAAGCCTGTGTTCAGGAGTTTCTATAAATGTTGAAGTAAGGTACATCTTTGTCTAATACTATGCATTGGCAGGTGCGTTCACAGATAAGTTGTGTTTTTGAAATATCTGCACAAACAGCAATGAACAGTTGGATTTTTATGTTATTACTCCATTTATGATGCTTTTACTTGAAGATAGGATGCTTATAGTTTCAGAATATTTCCAAAAGAAAGACGCAAAAAAGATAACAAAGATTAATGCTGAGTATGTATTTCCAGTTTCAGAATGTTGTTTCTGAATATAAAGAAGAACCATAAAAGCCTGTATATTAAGGATGGAAAATGATGCAAAGTGGATGTATTATATTTGATATGATTACTCGCATGATTCGCTGTAGTATTCATCTTGCTCTCAAGGTGAGAAAAATCACCTATCAATATCACTTGTGGAACCAAACAATAGATATATGTATGTTGTTCACTATATTGAGTTTGTGTGCAACTTGAGAATGCACTTCTTAGCCGCAAAATGTGACATTGATTTGTGCGTAATGAATTTGATCTATTTATGAAGTAAGTGTGTGAGGGAATCACCCCCTGTCGTAACGTTTCAAACTCATGCTTGTAAAGTTCATATCGATGGGCCCCCTCTTCAGTTGTGAAACAATTTTTGTATACTTTTTTCTCTGCTTTTCCTTCTTTTTTTATATTCCCATGTACATGTATGTATGTATGTATAAATTGTTGTACATGTACGTGTAAAATATTGGAAGATGCACATTGTCATTTTGGTCGAATTATGATATGAAGACGTGATTAAAATCTTCTTCTTTTTTTCCTTTTTGTTTCATGGTGAAACACTTTCACAGAATGTTTGTGTCTCTTGCTTTTTATTTCAGTATTTGAATTAGTACTAGCTACAATGATCCTTCTTTGTTGGGAATATACATGTAACATGATCACACAAAGACTTTCCAGAAAATCAGTTTAACATTTAACTCTTAAGCTGCCCCATACAATTCACCCAGTGCCACAGTGCTAATCCCTATTGTGCCAGCCACTAATCTCTTGTGTGCCAAGTTAATTTAGGGTAGGTTCAATTAGCGTGTGTACTTATGCACGGAAATGTGTCCGTGGCATGCGAGTGAATGATAGTTTATGTGTGCATGCATGGCAAGCCACCAGAAACCCAATTATGAGAGCGTGGCATGCCAGCGCATGCACAGAACAGTGTTCTTGGCAGGATATGGGTTAAAGGACCAGGGGGCAGAATGAATCTACCCACCCCCCTGTTGATCAATGTATTGTGATATCAGAAAATGATTTTTACAAGATCAGGAGATTGACATTTGACCCTTTTAACATCAGTAGATAGACTCTACACGCTCAGATGGGGTTTCAACCAGGACAAAATTAGGCACTTTTTTTTCCCCTTCAATACTGGCCTCTCAGTATACACATTCAAGTAATACTACTATATGTACCAGACACACTTCATGTATATCTCATCCTAATGACATGAATGCATTTTACAAAGAAAAGCTTCACTAATATTCCTTAGTTTCAGCATGATAGGAGCATGTTTATTTCTTTAAATACAAAGATATCACACAAAATGATGTTAGAAAGGCAACATTTATACAAACAAGAACAAAATTATTAAACTCTCTCTTATATCTCCACCAGTTTCCATCGTACATGTATTTTCTTGGATATATCCTGAACACCTCAATCATACCAACTAGACCGATGCCAAACCGAAAATAGCCAGAAACAAAAAGTCTGTTACCCCCAAATGGCCAAGCATCGGTCAGTTAAGGGTCAGTTTGGCGGTGTGAGTGACCCTGGTATATGATTGTTGAATGGAAGTAGATTCTACATGTAATGAGAGCATGTGTTGTATGTGTCTTATTCTCATCAATGAACAAAACAAACATGTTTTTGTTAAAAATTATTTGATTGTATCTTACAATGCAGTACATGCATGTACTAGAACAGCATATCTTCATTTTAAAGGAAAATCCAACCTTAATTGGCAACTATTTTAAAATAAAGCAGAAAAATCAGAGAAGCACACTAATGAAAGTTTGAATGAAATTGGACAATAAGTTTGAAAGTTTTTACTTTTTTAACAAATGAAATAACTTGGATACTTCGACGGACTGTCGATCTGAAAGTCCGCGGTTCGAGTCCCGCCGCGGCACTAATGTCCTTTGGCAAGACATTGATCTACATTTGCCACACTCAACCCAGGTGATGTAAATGGGTACCTGGCAGGAATTTACTCCTTTAAATGCTAGAGTGCCACAGTGCCTGCCTTGCTAAAGCTAAAGAATGGGCACTTCATATTGGTTGAATCAGTAATATCATTGTGAGATAGTACCGGACAACTTTTCAATTTGTTTCAAGAGAGAAAATGACTAAAACTTATATTTTTCCAAATGAAGGAGTTCCAATGGAGAAGACACTGAAAACAGCAGAAACTAGTGATATATTTGTACACCACAAATGGGAGAGTTGTCTGTGACTAAATCACAATCCACTGACCAACTTGCCTATTTGAGATTTGCGTAGATTTAGTGATCTCATATTTCAAATATTCCTGACTATCTCACTCTTGGTTCGATCTATTTCAAACTTTCTCCATTTTGTTTCTCTTATTTCTCTGCTTTCAAAGAAATTAATTTCTCACAATGGTTGGATTGCCCTTGAAAGAAATGTACATTGTTCAACATGTAATGTAATTTACAATCCCTTCCACGTAATCTACCGGTACTGGTTTTGTATGTGGTGAAAATAGCTGCTATAAGGTCCTCTGATTTAGCACCTTGCTTTCTTCATGAGTAGCTATCAATCAATAAAACTAGTAAATTTACCAAACATATTGACGGTTTAATACAGTAGATTAACAAAAAGGATGGAGTATAACTGGCAAGTAGTCAAATCCATTTGTTTTTCCCAACTCCATGGTATATATTTTTTTCAAGGTATGCAGCAGCGTGAAGTTGTCCAATTCCCAAAGCTTCTAAAAACAAAATATTGAAAACCAGAAATCCAAGCAGGATTTAAGCAGACAGTTGATAAGCTTATTAACACCTAAAACAATTCTAAGCAATCAATAGACATAACTAAAAAGCAAATTACAGTTAAACCTGCAACGGCCACCTTTACAGAACTAGGACCAGTTTACCAAGTATACCAGGAACTTGTCATCATAACACCTGTTTAATAACACCTGGCCACATGCGTACAAAAGTCACTTTGTATACTTCCTTCTATTAAAGTGCCCTTTATATACAGCTTTGACATAGTACTAAATCTAACAACTAAAAATCTCAATCACAAAACACAAACTTGATTTAAATGAAAGCTATCTGGTCTAAGTCAGCTCTAAATACAGGTACATTGGCCTATACATTTAATCTTTCACTCAATCGTGAATGACTAGATTACGTATACTTGGGCTTTTGTAGATGGACTGTTGGTATTGTCAATGAAAATCAGGACAACTATAAAAGACCCCTTATTTTTGAGAACTTTACACTATAGTGTGTCTTTCAGAGACTTTGGATGGAGGCAATGTCAGGTAAATGGTTTCTCATTGAAACATGTACTAAAGGAACCTGTCTACATAGACCACTTTTTGTGTATCCCTTACGCAGTCGCTGTAGACAGGTTTGACTGTAGTACCAGTAATATCTTGACGTGAGCTCTCTGATGCGTACTTTCAAGAATTCCTCTTCAAATTTTCTTCGGCAAACTACTGGATTCTTGGTATTATTTCCATCGGACAAACATAGACCCTAAACAATCAAGCAAACTCTATGATACAACTACTTCAGAAACAAATGTCGAAAGTCAGAAGATTTTGTTACTAAACTAAACAATGCTCACCAAATGAAATATACAATGAAAAATGAGCGGTCACTTTTGCTATAAAGGTAGTGTCAGCTATTTGCAATGGGTCATAGCCTCACCAGAATAATCTCAAGATTTCTCTATCACAATATGTAATGGATGATAAATTTTAGTTCAAGCCATGCCTCCATTTAGTAGTTACTGATGTAAAGATTAAAATTACAAAAGACTGTTAAAAGTTATTACATCAATTAAGTTTGAAAAAATACAACATTTCTTACAGAGTTTAATTCTTCAAGAGCTATTTTTTCAGTAGTTGTACTTTGAAGCTAGCTTCGTATTTCATAACAGTCTGAGGTGGTATCCTGAAAATATACTATTTTTTTATGCCATGACAAATGTTAATTAGGACAAGCCATTGGTCAATATCTGCCCATGGTTGGCAGCAGTGAAAAGTTAATTGTGAGACTTTGATTTACACTATGACAATTAACATACCTTTCGTGAACATAAAAAGTAATATCCTAGTACCAGAATACAGTGCTAGCACTTATTCTATTTCAGAGTTTTAATGGTTGCAAATGGCTGACACTATCTCTTGTCCAACACTAAAAACGCTTTGGGCGATACATGCAATGTGTCCAATACGACCTATGACGTTTATCCATATATTTCATCCATGAATGAAAAATCTCTTAGTAACATATGACCCTGACCAATGATGATGAACCCAGAAAGTATCATTACCCAACGGTCAGATCATTCTTTTAATGTAATATCTCCAACCCATCAATCCAATCCAAAAGGTATTTGATATATCTCAACACGTCGTCTGGGCCACGTACCCAAACAATGTAATCTTTGAAGGGTTCCATGGTGAGGATTAAATTGACAGAGTTTTGCGGTTACTCTGAGGAGGGCCCACTTATGCTCTATTTCAACGTTTCCAGGTGTAACTGCAAACCTCACTAGAATAACACATTACTCTTTTGGCAGGGATTCACGAAATCGTCATAAGTATAAGATAGCCTACATCCCCTTGCAACACAGGTGTTTTAGTTTAATAAACAGGTTTCAATGGGGTTTTTTTAAACATGTAATTACGATGGTTTCATGACACGACGCCTAGGCGAGTCAAAACAATCCAATGTCCTCTAACAACATAAATGAGACTTCAGAAATATGTGACAAATTGACATGTGTTGTATGTGACACATTGCACGGAATCAACCGTTGACCTTTGACCTTTACTCCACTTCTTCGTGCACAGGTCGATACACCTTGCCCAAGATGAAGCGGCTACGTAGCAGCTTGAAGAGCACATAGTAGTTGCAGAAGAGGAGGAGAGACAGGGAGATGACGTAGTGCCAGTGAGAATGGCGGATAAGAAGATAGAGCTGGGTTGCTATGACGCCCAGTTGCAGGAAAACAAAAAGGTTGAGGACTCGAAGAGGGTCATGGAACATGAACTGTGATATAAGAAAAACATGAAATACTAAAATAGTGTATGGAAATAACTATGTATGTCAACAAAATAATACCAAAGTAAGTTTGAAATCCTTCCACTGTATACTGCCAAATGTACATGTAAAGATATCATATCAGTAAGCAGTGAAGATAGTTGATTTGATTACAAATTCTGAATGAATGGTAAGGAAAACCATCTCTCATAGTTGCAAGGGGAAAGGGAATATAAATGTTCATTAAATAATAATAATTCTATTGTACAAATAAAACCTTACAATACATCATCACTGCTTAATTAGAATTAGAAGAGCGATTAAAAAGGGCTCTTCTGTAATTAGAACCATTCATATAGTCTTACTTCCTATAATCTTTTGGACTCATATTCTAACTTGAATTTTAAAAAAAAAAGTTAAATCGTACCTGTAACACAACATATCCCAGATAATACCCTGGTCACATCAACGAGACCGACAACAGACTAACCACAAAAAACAGACCTAACTAGACGGAACTTCGACTGCACGCAGTCGAAAATGATGCCTCCGCCATAGAGCAATTTTACAAACCATAACGGAAGCAACTTTTAAAATTCAAGTTTGACTGCAATCCATCTGTCGTCTTTAATAATGCATTCACAAGCAATTTTTAGGCATCTGTAATGAGCCCCATGAACTTTGACCTGATGACCCTAAAATCTAATCAGTTCATCGGCTCTGCAAGATACATATACATGTCTTGAGTTTGATAGTAATCTGTCTTTCAGTTTTCTCATGATAATGTGATCACAAGCTTATTGTGCATACATAATGAGCCCTGTGACCTTTGACCTTGTGACCCCAAAATCTAATCACTTCATTAGCTCTGCACGATACATGCATGATTCAAGTTTGGCGGTAATCCATCAATTGGTTCTTGAGATAACGCGATCACGAGAACGGGACGTACGTACGGATGTACGGACGGACAGACGGACAACCAGAAAACCTAATGCCTCCAGTTACTTTGTAGTGAAGGCATAAACTAGATGGAATTTTGACTGCGCGCAGTCGAAAATGATGCCTCCGCCATAGAGCAATTTAAACAAGTTTGGAGTTTAAATCTCCAGTGGTTCTTGAGATATCATGATAACAATCTCAATGTATGGAATTTCATAAGTTGACCTCTGTGACCCTTGACCTTTGACCTACGTGCTCCAAAATCTAATCAGATTGTCTTCCTATGGTGATACACACTATCATTAAGTTTGAAGTTTAAATCTCCAGTGGTTCTTGAGATATTATGATATGGTGATACATACTATCATTAAGTTTGAAGTGAAAATTCTCCAGTGGTTCTTGAGATATCGCGATAACGATCTCAATGTATGGAATTTCATAAGTTGACCTCTGTGACCCTTGACCTTTGACCTACGTGCTCCAAAATCTAATCAGATTGTCTTCCTATGGTGATACACACTATCATTAAGTTTGAAGTTTAAATCTCCAGTGGTTCTTGAGATATTATGATAACAATCTCAATGTATGGAATTTCATAAGTTGACCTCTGTGACCCTTGACCTTTGACCTACGTGCTCCAAAATCTATTCAGATCGTCTTCCTATGGTGATACATACTATCCTTAAGTTTGAAGTTTTTACATCTCCAGTGGTTCTTGAGATATCATGATAACAATCTCAATGTATGGAATTTCATAAGTTGACCTCTATGACCCTTGACCTTTGACCTACGTGCTCCAAAATGGAATCAGATTGTGTTCCTATAGTGATACACACTATCACTAAATTTGCAGTTTAAATCTCCAGTGGTTCTTGAGATATCATGATAACAATCTCAATGTATGGAATTTCATAAGTTGACCTCTGTGACCCTTGACCTTTGACATACGTGCTCCAAAATCTAATCAGATCGTCTTCCTATGGTGATACATACTATCCTTAAGTTTGAAGTTTAAATCTCAAATGGTTCTTGAGATATCGCGCTAACAAACTCAATACAAGGAATTTCATAAGTTGACCTCTGTGACCTGTGACCTTTGACCTACGTACTCCAAAATCTAATCAGATCGTCTTCCTATGGTGATAAATACGATTCCCGAGTCTTAAGTTTAAATCTTAAATGGTTCTTGAGATATTGCGATAACGGTCAAACGGGACGGACGTACGGACGGACAACCCGAAAACATGATGCCTCCGGCACCACCTTCGGTGGCGGAGGCATAAAAAAACAGACCTAAAAATGCAATACCGGTAACCAGAATGGCCAAGAGATGGTCAGTTGGGAGTCTGTCTGGAGTAGTTTTGGCCGTGTGACCATGGTCAAAGATGCACATAGAGCATTACGAAAGAAAAAGACTTACATAGAAGCGAGCGTAAGAGCGGTCTGAGGGAAAGGCCACATTCTGCTGTCCAGTCGCCCGATAGATACCCTTGTTGTACCTGACCAGGACTCCTTGTGGCCATACCGTCGTGTCTGACCACCTGAAGCAACAGAAGATACAGGTGAAGATACATGTGATTGGTATTGAAAGAACCAGGAATTAATTTGATGCATTATTACTAAGTAATTAAAGATTTAACCATTAATTTCTGATATTTAATTAGGGTTGCGCATTTTCAACAATAGTGGTGGTGTTTCACGAGGACCTGTTTGGTAACAAATACAGAGCACTAACATCAAACGGGAATAACTGACTATTAAAGGTGCTTAGAGAAGTTGAGGTGCGTCCCTGTACCCGTATGTGGGTACTGGTAACAATTCATATCAACTACGAGAACTACTCATCGAGCAATGACAAAGAACATGATTACACCAATGATGCTTATATTCAGGTATTCAGGTGTTGAAGTGTTTTGCTGTACCCACAGTCAAAGCTAAGTTAATGAGAAGCCGTACATCAACACGGAACACTAACACTGAAAATGATTAAGCCACTACAGTGCTTACAAAAGTGGTTGATGAATTATAATTCTACACAGCACTACACACAAAGCACTAACACTGAACACTATGGTGTAGGCTTGAGTCGGGACGGTCGATCACACCGGGACCCGACCGTTGCCGTCGGGTCCCGGTTTCGTTTTTTGAGAACCGGCGCTCCGAAAAAAATAATGAAATATGTAAGAAATTGCAGTTTTGCACACCACTAAAATCAATCCACCCTAAAACTTAAGTATTTAATTGTTACCAATCGTATTCTAGCTCATCCAGAATCAATCCGAACTGCTGATATAAATATGGGTTGCAAAGCAGTTCGCCCAATGGGGTTGTTGTTGCCAGCTGCTAGCTAGCTACTGTACTGGCCGGGTCTCTCGGCAGAATTAATAAATCAGGTTGAAAGAAACATTAATGTTAAAATAATAAAACGGCTTTCTTAAAAATTCTTCTGTACAATGTACCGATCATATAATATTTAAAAGACAAAATATATATTTTTTCTTTGATTTTGAACACTGCATGCTTCTTTAAAAAGCTGAAAATGACTTGGTAATCACAAGAAGTTTCGATACGGATAGCTGTTGCAATGCAAGTTCAGACTAGTCTCGGAAAAATGCGCAGTGCTCCTTGTTAGCTATAATGCGTGCCAGAACGAACCCAAACAAAGACGTGATCGTAACGAGAAAAAATCATTAAAAACTACGAGAGCACAATTGGAAAGACAACTACTCAAAATTATCGTAAGCAGATACATAACTTGGAGGAAGAATACAATAGTTGTCCAAGAAAAGCCACATAAATAGTGATATTTAATGAGTTACTATAGGTACAATCATTATCGGAAGGGCCTGCTGCAATATATCTAAACGTGTTTAAATTGAACACGAGGCAAATACCGCCCTCTACGGTAAAAAGCAGTATAACAAAGGATTCGAGTATTTGCAGCAGGCCCCTTGCGATAAAAATGTACCCAGTTACTCCTCGATTATCACAATTTCTGTGGCATTTCTAGGGCGATTATTGAATTCTTTGTCCAAGTTATGTATCTGATTATGGTAATTTTGAGCAGTATATCTTTCCAATTGTGCTCTCGTAGTTTTTAATGATTTTTTTCTCGTTACGATCACGTCTTTGTTTGGGTTCGTTCTGGCACGCATTACAGATAACGAGGAGCACTGCGCATTTTTCCGAGACTAGTCTGAACTTGCCTTGCAACAGCTATTCGTATCGAAACTTCTTGTGATTACCAAGTAATTTTCAGCTTTTAAAAAAAAGCATGCGATGTTTAAAATAAGAGATAAATATTTATTTTTGTCTTTAAAATATTATATGATCGGTACATTGTACAGAAGAATTTTTAAGAAAGCCGTTTTATTATTTTAACATTCATATTTTTTGACCAGATTTATTCAACCTGCATAAATCAAAATGGCGGCTCGATTGTAGTCTTTATATTTTTGCTCGAGATTTTTTACTTTTAGAGGCACGATAATGGCACTAAACATCGCCAATCATGGATGAATATAATGTCAAATGGAAGAATATACCAATCTGTGCCGAGGTATGCATGTGTTGATTTATTTGACTGATAAAAATGTCACTTTTAAGGGACATACTGATGATATGCGCTTTTTATAGAGGCAAGTGACAAATCCTGCGAGTTGATTTCGGGACACCGGGTCCCGACCGGTGCAAGGCCGTCGGGACCCGGTTTATGAAAATCCCGACATGACTCAGGCCTACTATGGTGCTTACAGGTGTTGAGGTGTGTTGCTGTACCCGTGCTCCATCTTCTGCCATCGGCCCAGGTGTAGGGAGCACCGATGGAGGGCGTCACAGTACGCCACCGGGAGGAAGTGAGAGCCAAACATGACAAAAGAATTGATCCAGACGAAGGCTATGAGAAAACAGGACCACCACAGATCAAGGTACATAGCAGGCTGTGGGAGGAATCAATAGTGAGAATCGTTTTATTAAAATACTGAACCTGGCATCCCGTAGGCTGAATAACATTCAGTTTACAAGATGAACACAGCTGCACTTGCACATCAATGTTGTAACAATTATTCTACAATGTAAAATCATTCTAAATTAAAACAATACCGCAATTAAAGAAATTAAGTATTCTTAAAACAGGGTCAAACTATGTTCACATATTGCACTGAGAGATATAGCAAGAGAGAGAGAGAGAGAGAGAGGAGAGAGAGAGAGAGAGAGGGAGAGAGAGAGAGAGAGAGTAGAAGGAAAGTGGGAGAAAAGGAGAGTTTGAGAAGAGGGAATCAAGAGGAGGATAGAGGAAAGAATGAAATGAGAGGTAAGAAACAGGTGAGGGATAATGTCATATCATATCTTGGATTCTCCACAGGTCTGTTCACTTCTTTGTTTTTCTGTTTGATTTTCTGCACATATTCTTCCAGAGCACAATATCAAGCCCCACATACCTACTAGTACTAGCAGACCTACTCCACTTGCACACATCAATGTATAATACACTCTCCAAAATTTGTAATACACTTATCATCTCTCACACAAGCAAACAGATATAAGATGAAAGCTTTTTCAGTTACCGACCCAAGATAAGGAACTCCCTACTCCTTCCATTAAAGAACGTCCAATCTCTCACACAAGCAAACAGATATAAGATGAAAGCTTTTTCAGTTACCCACCCAAGATAAGGAACTCCCTACTCCTTCCATTAAAGAACGTCCAATCTCTCACACAAGCAAACAGATATAAGATGAAAGCTTTTTCAGTTACCCACCCAAGATAAGGAACTCCCTACTCCTTCCATTAAAGAACGTCCAATCTCTCACACAAGCAAACAGATATAAGATAAAAGCTTTTTCAATTACTAACCCAAGATAAGAAACTCCCTACTCCTTCCATCAAAGAACTTTCAATCTCTCACAACATTCAAGAAGTTACTTAAAACACATCTTTTCTCATTTCTTTGTATTGTTCTTATCACTATGATTATTTTTTGTAAAAGTATCTTTTGTTATTAAAGTTGTATCTCTTTAAGGCGCTTAATAGATGAAATGTAATATCATAAACAATATGACAATTCTGTCTTTCATTCTGTGCCTATGATAGCGATTCTTTAAACTCCTATGACATCAAGATTTTTAAACAAGTGTCAAGTTTCAATTTTGAACCTGGTGGACCCTTCTCTATCTTGTTTCCCCTCTCTTCACTTCCATCTCTCTCTCTCTCTCTCTCTCTCTCTCTTTCTCTCTCTCTCTCTCTCTCTCTCTCTCTCTCTCTCTCTTGTCTATTTTCCCTTTATCATTTAAAGTACTGTAAATCTCTGTGTATAAGATGCATTTTTTTTTTAAGTGTTGATTTATGCCCCTCCACCTGGCACTGTGCCTGGCAATGTCTCCCAGCTCTGTCATACATTTTGTGTTGACTCACCACCTCGGAAACTAGAACAACACTTCCTGTATGGCCAAATTTCTGTTTGGACTAAAAGGAAAATTTGTCTGTCATCTTTAGTTTTTAAAACGACATTGCTACTATTATTTGTGACAAGTTCACAAGCGCAAAGTGGCGCCTTCAACTGCACCTCGCAGTCAAATAAAGCTCCTTTTCCACGTGTACACGGACCTGGCTCGCTGCCTATGGAGTCTGCAAAAAAAAAATAGGGTTGCGTCTTATTCACTGAGACTTACAGTACTTTCTTGAAAGCAAGAATATCAAGGCCAGTTAGAGATACAATTTTGGGGGAGCAAGGGGTTATCGTTACCTGTAAGAAACAAATTGGCACAAAGCCAACATAATATGCGCAGACCATCGAGTTGAAAAGCACGCTCTTCACCCGGGAGTTGAAGTCCATCTTGAGAAGATCAGCTTCCTGTCGGATCTCGTTTGGGACATGGGAGCATTTGTGCTTGGCTGGTGCTAACATGGTGATACCGTTCCATAAAAGTTCCTCTTTGCTACCCTTGGCGGGGGGCGCTAGTTGTGAAAACAGGGTCATGTTGAAATCCAGGGTCAGACCATACAGAAGAAAATAAGAGATTAACCTGTTGAGGGTCAAAACATACACAAGAAAAAGATCAGTTGGGGGTAGAAACAAGGGAAATTTTAAACGAATTTTTGACTGAGTGAGGGTCTAGCAATTACAATTACATGTATAAAGATGCAATGACAATGATATGTGCTTTAAAGTCACTGTATTATAATTATTGTTATTATCCTATTAGTGATAAAGTGACTTGTGAGTAATATGTTAAGGGTCAGGATTACAATCATGATGAAAGTGACTTGTGATATTGTGCTTCTTTGAGATAGTCCTCGCTTTAAAATTCCTCACTTTAAAATTCCCATCGCTTTGTGAACTTTTAATCAGAGTTTGTGAAGTTCTTCGCTGTGAAGAAGTGAATCAAAACATATTTTTTTGCACTTATCAAGTTTTTTTGGCCACAAAAACCACTATCCTGTTTGTGAAAGTATCCCACTTTACACTTTCTGTACAGTATTGGTTTATTTCAGACCAACATTAATTTAATCTGGACTGATCAAACAGTTCTCAATAGATATGTTTTATATGATCGTTGTCAAATGGCAGAATTTGAGGAGGGACATCTTTACTCACGGGTACGCAAGGAACAGAAGATTGAGAGGTGAGTTGTTATTCATGAGCTGCCAGAGGCACCATAGTCCCAGGTTGAGGAAGGTTAGGGTGATGATAAGTTTGATGACTTGCAGGACACAGTAGCGCGCTGTCACTATGGTTACTATTGGCGTTAGCTGTGGAGAGTTGGTGGATAATGGAAAGCAAATATATTTACGACTGGATCATGCAGAATATCATGCGTTAATTCTAAGGTTTAAAATGCGGAATACAAAATAATATTACTAACATGAGCTGTAGCGCAAATTATCAAACTGTCAGTATAGAAGCAGAGAAGAATTTAGCAGTGGAAATCTCTGAAGATATCTGGAAAAAAAAGAGCTTTATCAAAAAATACAAAGATGAATACCGTATTCGCCGCGTAAAGGCCGCAGTATTTTTGGAAGAGAAAATATCAAAGAGTCGGGGTGCGGCCTTTACGCCGAAACAGTAAAAATCTCAAGTCAAAACAGCACGTCCATTATTTGTAGGCAACTGCATACAAAAAAATATATTAACAAAATTGACTTAAAAAACACATCGGACAAGATCTAGTCTGAACAAACGTCAGCAGCAAATTTGAAGAAGTCATCTTTTTAATCGTTGTGCAACCAAAGAAATAAGAAGAAAACTGACCAGAAACTCGTACTAAAAATCGTACTTGTAAAAATGACCTTAGACAGCGCACGGCCCAGTAACCAAAATCATACCTCGCTCACACACTCTGTGGTGGGGAGCTACGGGGCTGGGAGTTGCCAACAAATCCAACGCGCCTTCGGAGATTCACAGTGCGCAATCGTCGGTGTTCTTAACTTTTCAGTAAGATAATTCTGAATTATAATTGAGACTATCTAATTAATTAAAGCGACAAACTAACCTCAGTAGATCTCTAATAACAATACAAAAGCTTGTTTATTTTCTCTATTTGGCGGTACGATAGGGGTAAGACCGGATAACATTATATGGCCACAACTTGGTTATGGCAGGATTATATTAGTGCCGACTCTCTGCATGCAAGCTAAAGATGGCCATTCAGGTTTCTGTATGCATGCAAAGCGCCCTCTAGTGTCCAATGAATGTGCTAATCTGCCTAAAAATTGATGAAGATTTGCTAAATTACGATCATTTTTTAGGTAAACTTCCTGTAAATTTATAAAATGATTGATAATTTTGGTATTAGTTTGTAGGAAAAATAGAGTTCTACGAGAAAATTACGATTATTTTCTTTGGTCCGTTTTTTTTTTCTTCTATGAAATGTCAAAGTTGGGGGTGCGGCCTATGCGGTGGTGCGGCCTTATCGCCGGCAAATACGGTAGGTATACAATATTTGTAAAGAAAAACACCCCAAAACACAATTTATCCCTGAAAATAGCATCATTGTGTCAATATATCAATAAGTGTAGAGGTTGATCCCAACATGTTAAACATACAAATATGAGGATAGGGTGAAAACCTACAGCTATGTACACAATACACAGATGTCACTTTTTCTGATCTTTAGAACATTCAATCTTTCATGATAAACGTACCTCAATAATAAAGTGCCACACCAAACGCCTGATGAGAACCAGAGTTACAAAGATCAACAGGAAAGGGTCGATGAGATGAAAGTTCTGGTGGGAAGAAAGAAAAAAAATAGTTTCTAGTCAAACTTCACTACAGGTTATATTATGAGGAAAGTGAGAAGAGAGAAATAGGAGAGAACTAGGAGAGAAAAGTAATTATATAGACACAGTCAGATATACATCCCATTCTTGAATTACGAAGGAAACAAAGTTTCCATCTATGGCAGATTATACTCATTATTGTTTATTACCTACAGGTATAATAAGAGCAAAACAAATTGTTAAAAAGTTCAAGAATTCTCAGACCAAGAAAATGAAAATGGAATCAATCACATACCGGTAGTTGAAATTTAATTAATTCGTAATTTTTGAAATATAAATTTAACACCCTTTTCCAAAAATGTAATAATTCATCTCACTCTGCTTGATTTGAGCTATATTTGAACATATTTAGACTATACCATAACAACCATTCAACAAGTACATGTTTGTTCCCTCTGAAGATAAAAAATGTCAATATACTACAGCAAGAATTAACAAAAAACCTTATAACAAAATAACTCAACTCTGATATAGTTTTTGTTCTTCTCTCTTTCCAAGCTTATATTTACCATGGCTGTATTAGAGGGGGCAAGAGGCAACCACCAAACAGTCTTGTATATGTTAATGTATTGAAGAAAGAGTGCAGTCAGCAGGTAGATGACTGTGTGCGTCTCAAAGAGAAGGCTGCACTCTGCTGGCAGATTAGGGATATCAGGATGCCGGATGGGGGTGATGGTAATCAGGGTGGTAAGGGGGGTATTGCTCCCACCACCACCGGTTCCTCCTCTGTAGGTACATGTATATGAGGGAGAAAGAGTGACACAGAGAGAGAGAGAGAGAGAGAGAGAGAGAGAGAGAGAGAGAGAGAGAAAGAGACATAGACAGATAGAGAGAGAGAGAGAGAGAGAGAGAGAGAGAGAAAGGGGGGGGGGGGGGGCAAGAACAAAAAGATGGAGAAAGAAAGGGAAGAATAGGAAGAACATGGAAAAGGAGACAATCAAGAAGAGAAGAGTAAGAGTTTGAAGAGAAGAAGAAAATAATGAGTGAAGATAAGAAATGTTTGATGAGCAATAAAAACAAACAAAACATAGATTTCTGGGCCCTTTTCTTGAGGCCGTCATGGGTCTAAATTCTTAAATAAATGACCGTTAGTAAGCTACTTGTTAGCTACAGGTTTCACGAATTATCAAATTAACTGGAAGAAGAAGAAGAAGAAATAATAGAGTAAAACCGCCAAACTTCTGACGTTGCCAAGCTTCGGACAAAAATTACTTCAACGGCTCGAACGCAAAATATGAGCCTAGCTCAGGCGGGTAACTTGCATGCATTTGATACTATTACTAACCTATATCGCTAGTACAGAAAGGTAGGGCAGGTTGCCGTCTGCAAAACTCCCAACGATATACGTGCGCTACACATGAACGTCCGAAGCTTGGCATGAAAAAAGGTTCGGCGGGTAAGTAAATAATTCTAGTTTTCCATTTCCTTTACTAATTTTCTATTACATGACAAACATAAACAGTATTTGCACAATAATAGTATACTTGATCTTTCAATAATTAAACAAGAATTTAATGTTTTCCCCCGTTTTGTCTCAAGTATCTGAAGTTTGGCGGTCTTACTCTAAATGAATAATAAATAAATAAAGGCAATTTGAACAAAAAACATAAGGTGGTCTGTATTATATACAGCCCACCTAATTAAATAGACAACAATAGTAAAACTAAAATACAGTCAACATGGTCAATCTTCAAAAAACAGCCTGATCGATCTCAATTTCATTAACAATTTTAAAAACAAACATGAAACAAAAAACAGTTCTAGGCCCTATGTAATGGGTTCTTGTAACTGTAAGTAAATGTAATCTCCATAATTATAGTGAAGATATATATTTAGGTGCAATTTTTATTTATCTATCAATTCGAATTCGAACTGACTTCATTGAACATTTCTCCAAACTAGCCTAGACCTACGTCCTACGGCAAAGACAAAGTGCTGACAATGACTGACGGACAGTGACAGATGTCATGTCAACACAACAACAGCATAATGAACGTATGGGACTCACCGATGGCGAACTGATGAACCTTGGGATGAAGAATTCCCACCATGAACAACATTCGTCGCATGAATCGGTGGAGGCGGCATTGATCGGCTCATCTGAGGTCGCCCTGGACCTCGTCGACCTCCTGCCATGGTTCTCAATCGATAAATTTCGCCTGAAAATTGTCAACCCCAACAGCGAATTTCCTCTTTCAGAAAAAAAGTCTGTTGACAATTTAAAGAAACACAAATAATTCATAAAGTTAAATATTTTGTTTGATACAAAATATTTTTTATCTAGTTGAGTATAATTTTTTGTACCAAATAACATTATTTTAAATTTTATTTTATTTTTCATTTTAATTTTAAATAAACAAGTTCTCTTAATAATATAAGTGCTGATTGGCAACACTGTGATATACGTAGCAGTTGTCGAACATAGCAGACTATTTTATGGATAAAGAGAATGGTGGCACTGAGTAATATGTACGCGTAGTGTATAGTTCAGTGGTGGTGGGGCTGTGGGAAGGGGGGGGGGGGGGTTGGGGAATGGACAACAATAGAAATTCTACCATCAAAATTAAACAAGATTTTTTTCATGCAGTGACATTTACCCCACTAAATCACATGATTTCTTCATGTTCCTGTGTTCATAAAGAGAACAATTATTTTATGATTTCTGTCAGATAAATTGTGTTTTTCCCACTCTCCACTTATCGTTCAATATTTAGAGAGAATTTTAAATTTTAAATAATCCTATCGATTTTCAGTATGTTTTATTATACCTCTAGGCAATTGTGTTTTTTAATGTACATGTCATTATCATATGAAATACAATTGTGTCGAAAATAATTTACAGGCCGACTCCATGTCTAATGGTGTTTGATATGTTTATCATAATTGTTTCCTAAACGGCCCCATGCACCTTTGGAATGGAAGCAATACAGATAAATGGTAAAAACAAAATACAACAAAGACAGCAAAAAATAATATCTTACAATAAAGAAATGTTCTATGGCAGCAAACACAATAAACTGAACGCAAGATTTTATCGGCCGTCAGGCATGTTAATTGTTACCACATCGAAATTTACAATTAAATTAAATTCAAAGTTTATTCAACACAGCTCTTCATAAAAAAACATTTAAAACATACAAATACAGCCAGTGGAATGATAAAAAACAGGATAGTGATAACAAATAACAATGGCAATTTATGAGAGCATTTGGGATAGGCAGAAAGGATGGATTCTTTGTATGAAAGCGTACCCCTAAAACACACACACATACTGTAACAGTAAAACAAGAAAAAAAAGAAAAAAGGACAAAAGAACATAACAAAACAAAAAAACATACTAAAACATACTGTCATGTACAATCAGAGTAACACAAAGTGTCAAACTAGCCCTTGTTTATTGCTATTAAAGGGAAAGTCCACCCCCAAAATAAGTTTGTTTCGATAGAGGCAGAAAATCAGGTGAGTGAAAGTTTGAGCAAATTCTGAATGAAAATAAGAAAGTTATGAATTATTGAAGTTGTGATCAATCAAATACAAATTAACAACTCTGTGACTTATTATACGAGCTCTCCTTTATTGCTTTGTGCATAATATTCCATAAAATCATGTTTTCTTCGTTATTGATGACGGAATATATATTTGTTCCTTGCAGGGGGAGTATAGAAACATATTTGCAATTATTATATTTAGGGTGCATGTATGGTTGAAATTTTTCTTGAGGGAAAATGAAAATTTTAGATTTTTTTAGTACTGAGCAAATGGAACTTGGAAGTTGAGCTCGCATGATACGTCATAGAGTTGCCAATTTGTGTTTGATTGATCACAACTTCAAAAATCTTCCTTATTTTTAATCGGAATTTGCTCAAACTTTCACTGACTTGTTTCTCTCATTTTTCTACTCCTATTAAAACTAACTTAATTTCAGGGTGGACTTCCCCTTTAAAGGTAAAGACCAGTTATGGTCATGCGATTGCATTGTGAAAGAAACGTTGTGGAATCGATCAGAAAAGGTTGATCATCTAGCATCTAGCATCTGCAAGGTTCTGGAATCATCAAAATGATAAGAAATTTGGCCCATTCTTCGTAAAGTTACAAGCACTATACACAGAAAGATGTTTATGGGACTACCCTATATCTCTCACAGACCATGAGAGAAACAAATTTACCAAATATATGAATTAGTAGGTTTCCCGGCAAATTTTTTATCATCATGTATTAGTCAAAACATATTCTTTCACATGATTGGTATTGAGAGCTTCCATTTCATTTTTTGAAATTGGGGCGTTTCCAATACTGGTCTTTACCTTTAATACTGATTATTATTGATTGTTATACTTATTCATATTTATTCGCTATTCATAATCAAAGAAGAGAGTCGGTATTCATAATATTAGAAGAGGGAGGCTATATACTCATAATACGAAATCGGGGTCGTTATTCATAAGGGTCCCTATTCATAATATTACACAAGGGTTGGTATTCATAATACAGAAAGAGGGTCGCTATTCATAATACGACGAGAGGGTCGCTATTCATAATACGAAATGAGGGTCGTTATTCATAATGCAAAATGAGGGTCGCTATTCATAAGGGTCATTATTCATAATCGATGAAGAGGGTCGCTATTAATAGGAGAAGAGGGTCGCTATTCATAATAAGAGTATAGGGTCGCTATTCATAATAGAAGAAGAGGGTCGCTATTCATAATAGTGAGTGGGGTTCGCTATTCATAATAGTAGAAGAGGGTCACTATTCATAATAGGAGTAGAGGGTCGCTATTCATAATAGGAGTAGAGGGTCGCTATACATAATACGAAATGAGGATCGCTATTCATAAAAAGAAATGAGAGTCGCTATTCATAATAGGACTAGAGGGTAGCTATTCATAATACAAAATGAGGGTCGCTATTCATAATAAGATATGAGGGTCGCTATTCATAATACAAAACGAGGGTCGCTATTCATAATACGAAACGAGGGTCGCTATTCATAATACGGGATGAGGGTCGTTATTCATGATACCACGAGAGAGTCGCTATTCATAATACGAAATGAGGGTCGCTATTCATAATACAGAGTTAGGGTCGCTATTCATAATACGGGATGAGGGTCGTTATTCATAAAATGAAACAGGCCTAAGCAATATCCAAAATGCTCATAACAAAGGGAAATGTTGGACGGAGGACACCCCCAAGGCGACACATGGCCCTGAATATTTGTCTTCATTTTAAGTAGGTATATTTCATCTTTTATCTTTAATAATTATATAGAGATATATCTCCCGCCCTTATGGTGACGCAAAAAAAGGAAAACATGAACATATATAATCGTATCGAAATTTGACTTTCTTGAGGGAAATGTTGCCCCACCACCCTGCCCCCGACTGATCTTATCCAGGCTATGACAATGCGACATTAAGTAGACCAAGCAGGCCCATTTTCATAGTTATTCAAGGACTGAGTTTGCTATTTCAGAAATTGTCATTGTTTATACGACAATTATGTTTTTGTAGAAAATAGCTTTTAGTAGGAATTATGGACCTACAAATTATATAGCGGGGTTGGGCCGGACCACGAGCCTACTTACTGTACGGAGAGGGGTGAGAGGTGGGGGGGGGGGGGCACTTTAGAATTGTGATTTGTTTGAGACTTTGGGGGATAGGGGTCTTGAACACTTTCGGACCTTCACGCTTTTCGCGTCATGTATCGTACAAAGAGGTAATGCAATCTGAATATGAACCAAACATTTATTGTCTTTTTTTGTTGGGGTGATGGTGATGGGAAAGGAGGTCTGTAAAGGTCTTTTTAGTGCAACACAATTAAAGTAAAAGATGCCGTGAGAAATTTGTTTTTCGTTTTTATTTTGAGGTGGGATGTCTAGCCCTCATATATATATATATATATTACTAAAGGCGTCATTGGAGGGACATTCGGAGTGAAAAAGTGAGTCATTAAGTAGACATTGTCATTTAGGAGGACATGGATCCGCCACTGAGTATGCCTGTGGTGTCCAGTGGCGTATCTGGCGCTTGTTCTCGTTTGGGGGGGGGGGGGGCGAGAGGGGCGCAAAAGCGTATCTTTTTCCCCTTGTTTTTTCTTCTTCCTCTATATTTTCTTTCCCTTTCTCTGTTTTGCTGAGAGGAGGGGGGAGGCAAGGGCCTTTTGATCCAAACCTTGTTGGCGGGAAAATCGCAACTGACATCCCCTGTCTTTAGTTTTCTTCTTCCTCTTTTTTCTTTCCCCCTTTTCTCCTTTTTTATATGGGGGAGGGGTGGAGGCAAGCCCCCCCCCCCCGATTTCCTTCTTTTCCCCCGTTTCTTTTCTTCTTCCTCTTCTCTTGGGGTGGATATGTGCGCATTATAAATGTGGTTATTATTATTATTATTATTATTATTACCTTTCCCTTCTTTTCCTTCTCTCTCTTTCTCTCTCCTTTTTTTTTTGGGGGGGGGGGGGGAGGGGGCGGGGGAGGGGGCATTTGCCACCTCGCCCCCTGGATCCGCGCCTGGATGTACGGACGGTAAACGGTACGAAAATGACCGGTATAGGCAGGGGCGTCGCTAAAGGGGGAGGGTGTGGGGTGCGACACCCCCCCCCCCCACACACACAAACACTCACACACCTTTTTGAAAAAGTATTTTAATGTAAATATAAAGAAAAAAAAAGGTGACCTGCCGGTTTCACAAATGAGGTACCAAAATATGCTCATCTGTCCGTAATTAAATGCCTAAAACCCCCGAGCTTCCGGGGGCATGCAGACCCCACCAAAGGCCCTCAGGCGGGCCCCTGGAAGCTCATCTGACCTTAATTTAATGCTTAAAACACCAGAGCTTCCTTGACCCTCACGGGGGCTTTGCCCCTGGACCCCACGCCAATTTAAACAATATTGCCCAACTTTTTCACAGTGTATAAGCTAATGGTCCGGTCAAACTCCGTTTGTTTTCAATGCTAGGAAACTTTCAGGAGATCAAGTTTTTGGATAAATCAAGTTAGGTTAATTGATATGATTATTAGTATCCTGAGGCATGATAATTCATGGAAAACTGAAATCTTGAAACTCTTCATTGGTTTCATTGAAATTGAAGAGCTTCTGTGTGCCTATATTTGACTAAGGCTATATAATTTGTAGTTCCATAAGTCCTACTAAAAGTTACTTTCTACAAAAATATTATTTTCGTATAAACAATTACTAGTTTCTTAAAATAGCAAACTAAGTGCTTAAATGGCTATGATAATGGACATGCTTGTTCTACTTAATGTGTCAGTGGCGTATCCACGATAAGCTCAGTCGGGAGGGGGGGGGGGGGGGCAGGGTGGTGGGGCAAGATTTCCCACGAGCGGGAAATGACGATAGGATTATGTGTGTTTTCCTTCTTGTTTTCACCGCTGTAGCGGGGGAAATATATTAGCTAGATTATGGGGATGTCTATAATTATCAAAGCTAAAAAGTAAAATATTTTACAAAATACACAATAAAGGGAATGCAACCGTTCGCATAATGTCTCACGGTAAAAAAAAAAATCGTATCTGATTCTGAATATCCAACTTCCTTACTTATATGGAAAATATGTGGTGCGACATTGTATATTTACGAAAAGCTTGAATATGGTATATAACTTAAGTCCCTACAGCCCCCTCTCTGTCGCTTTCTTCCTTTGCTGAGGATAAGATACATGATAGATCAACCCCTTGAAGGCAACACTGATACAACCCCACGCCCCCCACCCTTGAACACACACAGGCTGTACGCCACCTATGAACTATACGAGAATTATCGCTAATATGTACATGTACCAGGGAATACTGCCGGTAGGGTGGCCGAATGGCGCAGCGTGGTCGGGCTTACTGGGGGGGGGGGGGGGCTGGTGACCGGAATGATGGGACACTAAACTCATTATTAGGGCACGCCTTTTTTTCTTCCGAAATGTGAGTTTCTAATAAATATTTTCTTCAAATGTTTGGGACCATGTGGCCTACCCCACACCCCCGGCCTACGCCCCAGCAACGGCCTACGCTGTAGATATGGGGTTTCCTCTATCCAGTATGTCACTTTCTAATTAACATTAAGTTTATTGCTTATGTCATTTTGACTTTTTCGGTATTATGAATAGCGACCCTCTTCTCCTATTATGAATAGCGACCCAAAGCGACCCTCATTTCGTATTATGAATAGCGACCCTCTACTCCTATTATAAATAGCGAACCTCATTTTGTATTATGAATAGCGACCCTCTACTCCTATTATGAATAGCGACAGGAAATATTCACAGTGACCTGCTTATCATAGCCTTACTATAAAAGGAATCATACAAATAATAATCACCCCAATGATTTTTCGTTCTAATGTTTTCTTTTTTCATCCATTTTTAGATACCATACATGAAGTTAAATAAATTGTCAGTTGTGTTCAGTCTGATTACACGTAGATGAGGCTGCTCTCTGACCCAGTGAATTTTCTCCATAGTATTTCATTAGGAAAGGAGGTGAGTATTATATTGATGTAAGAATTTGAAATAAATAACAATACAAGTAAAATGCATGGATCAGTATTTTTTTTGAAGACGTGATACATGGGTATGCGTCCAAAATTGTGTTTACGTGCTGTGAAACTGTCTTTGTGAAGTGCAGTCCCACCTGTTAAGTATGATGTGATTTATTTTGGGTCGATGAGTCATGATCAGATGATTGAAAATGAACGGAACAAGGCAAGTTTTGTGTAATGTTACATGTAATTTACTAAGAGTAAATTGTCGTGTAATGTATTAGTTTGAGTTTTATGTAAACTAGTGGAAGGATAAAAAGCATGGGGAAAAAAAGGAAAAACCTCACTGAGAATGTAAAAAGTAAAAATATTTGGTGAAAAGTGCTGGAGAACAATTGTATTTGTAGTGTAGGGCTTAGGGCAAACATAGGAGCATCACTGTCCTGACTGTGTAGTAAAACAGGCAACACTGGCAACAACACATTAACGCGACACATTGGAAAGCCTGCGGTATGACACTTTCAAATGTCCTACTAATTAATTAAATGGGATATAACCAACGTCATACGCGCCCGTTCAAAGCTCTGTGCGCGCGTGGAGCGCGGTCCGCCATTACTAAGGAGGGCAAAACTTTGAGAAATACCCAGATGTTCCCTTCGAAACTGTGCTACTGATATGCAATGTGAAGCTTCATTTTTCGGGTTGATTTATCGGTTTTCGAGTATGAAACGTTATAATTGTGGTATTTTGCATAATGCATGAACCCTACTCATCTCATGCCTCAGTCATGGTATCTGGTGTAGGTCAAGATTAATTACGGGTGTTTTGGTGAGGTAAAAGGGACAAAAAAAGCTATTTATATTTCAATATATCATCAATTTTTCTTCCTCTTTCAATATAAAACTGTGATATTATGACATCAAATATTACTTGGCTTTCAACCAATCAGAATCAAGCATTTGGGACGTGTATTTGATATATATGTCATGATATTAAACAAAGTTTTATGCTACAGGGCCAATGCCGGGGGCCAATCTCTTTCTAATTCAGTTATTATGAGAGCCAGGGTTTATTGATTTAAAACGCTTTAAAGGTAATATATTCATTTTATGTTTATGGCTATTATAAACAGATTGATACTTATAGATTTGGGATAGAGATGGGTATGTAGATAGCTAGACACATAAATAGATGGATAGATAGATATAATATAGAAGGATAGGTAGATAATGGAAATGCAGATATAGGACGATACTGAAGATAGGAAGAGGGGGAAGGAAAGAATTATACACATTTATTTTAAAAAAATTATGTTATTTACTCATCCAATCATTCATCCATCCATCCAAACATTCTTTTTCTTCTTCTCTCACTCATTTTATATCAAATTCACACCTTATGTCTTTTACCTATTCTCTATAAAATCACTATATGTCTGAAAGAATACTTCAATTTTTACAGTTCACTATAAATATATATGAATATTCTTTAAAAACAGCTGATCATTGATGTAATAATTATTTATTCACACCACTTTTTTTCTCCATAAATAATATTCTCCTTGATACAGTGTATTTCTTATTTTCTTCATCAACCAGTTTTAGAGAATTAACTTATACTTAAATTTGAAGGAAAAAAAATGAATGAATGAACCTTTTATTACCACTTGGTGTTGAATATTCTACAGCATAGGCATTTAAGTTTTAAAATTTTATCGGACATTATATACTGCAATAATACATCACAATTGAAAGAACAGACATTGCAAAAAACAACACCTCAGATTTTAGCCCCAAATTTACTGTCACAGATCATAGGCAACACAACCACGACAAATTGATTCGCCACCAAAGACTGTATGTTGTGCACAGTCTTGATGGGTCGTTCGTTTTTCTGCCCTCCTTAGTAATGGCGGCCACCGCTCCAGGTCCGCACAGCAATTTGAGCGAGTACGCCCTCTAGTGTTAGTAGTATATATCTCTATGGATATAACCCATCACAAATAAGTAAAGAATGGAACTTACAAGTTTCGTTGGTGTAAATTTCCTTGGTTTCCAGACATCTGGCCTACTTGTTTGCTTATAGCCCAATCGTCTTCAGCTAACGTGCGCCATTTTCAGATGTAATGACTTTTTTTTTTAAGACCGGTCTCGCCCTCTACGCCCGAATTGAAATTCGTTGATATGGACGCGATCGGTTGTGTACACAGCTCAGCGGTAGGCTATTGCGTACAAGCATTTTTAGAGTTTGGTATTAAATACATATATATTTCATCCCAACTAAGCCGACAGGGGTGGCGGAGCATTACTATATAATTCCAAAGTATAATATTCAATTTAGCAATTGTAGGGTCTTAATAATAATAATGATACTAATAAAAGGTATTTCTATAGTCTGTCTAGAAATTCGTACGAAATAAGAGGCCTACTGTAGGTGCTTTAAACCCCGTACGTCGTCACGAACACTTCGTTCATCTTCCACATTACTGTTAACACCTGGACCCCGCACTAACACCCGGTATGGTGACCGCGCCTTTTCAGTTATTGCCCCCGCTCTCTGGAACAAACTGCCCGCCTTTATTCACTGCGCCCCCTCTGTATCTCAATTCAAATCTCTACTCAAAACCTATCTTTTCAAATTGTAAATTGCAGTTGTGCGTCGGTCAATGGAGGTGCGCACCATATTTGTCTTTATTTAGTTGATTGCCACTGTTTTTCTTACCTTATCTATGTTACTTTTGTATTTTTTTTTTTTCTAATTTAATTCTACGGGTTATAGTCTTCTCTTAATCAGAACACTGTGCGCTTAGAAACATCAGTATTAAGCGCCTAATAAATGTTATGTATTATTATTATTATTATTAAACCTGTGATAAAGCATTAAATGAAAACGTCTGCGAGATAAGACAACTACCCGTCAGATATTGCGCAAGATAGCGTCACATATGGTTTCACCAAATTCCAGACAACTTGCCACAAAGACAACTCGCCGCGCCCCTGAACAACTCGACACAATACCCTGGACATCTCGCCACAATACCCTGGACAACCTGCTATGGTCGAGTTGTCTAAGGAGTGTGGCAAGATATCCAGGGTATTGTGTCGAGTTGTCCAGGGGGCGATTTGTATTTGTGACGACTTGTTGCATGCATGTAGAATTGTATGGTAAGCGCAACGTGCGCAGTTTTAATGTCGTCGCAATCGAGGAGGGAATCATGCAGCCGTCTCTGTAAAAGAAGGAGAAAAATTAAATTAAGATAGTTTAATATCATAAAATGTAAATAAATATAACATAACCTATGTTATGTTGTATTTGTCTTACATTTTATGATATTAAAAGTGGAAAAAATCCACCCCGCGCATACCACATACATGCAGTGCTAGAGGTCCATATGCATTTATGGACTCTCTATGCTTTGCTGGAGTGGGCTTAGGGTAGCGCGCCCGGTATTCGGTCACTTAAAGGGAAAGTCCACCCCCAAAATAAGTTTGTTTCGATAGAGGCAGAATAATATGAAAATCAGGTGAGTGAAAGTTTGAGCAAATTCATTTGCTTTGTGCATAATATTCCATAAAATCATGTTTTCTTCGTTATTGATGACGGAATATATATTTGTTCCTTGCAGGGGGAGTATAGAAACATATTTGCAATTATTATATTTAGGGTGCATGTATGGTTGAAATTTTTCTTGAGGGAAAATGAAAATTTTAGAATTTTTTAGTACTGAGCAAATGGAAGTTGAGCTCGCATGATACGTCATAGAGTTGCCAATTTGTGTTTGATTGATCACAACTTCAAAAATCCTAACTTCCTTATTTTTAATCGGAATTTGCTCAAACTTTCACTGACTTGTTTCTCTCATTTTTCTACTCCTATTAAAACTAACTTAATTTCAGGGTGGACTTTCCCTTTAAGGGGAAATCGCTAATATTTGAATTCTTACCTCCTTTAATTGGCAATATACCCATTTAGTTGATTGCCACTGTTTTTCTTACCTTATCTATGTTACTTTTGTATTTTTGCTTTTTCTTCTAATTTAATTCTACGGGTTATAGTCTTCTCTTAATCAGAACACTGTGCGCTTAGAAACATCAGTATTAAGCGCCTAATAAATGTTATGTATTATTATTATTATTAAAAGAAAAGAAAATTAGTTCTCTAACAGGATTTTAAAGTCACTTGAAATATAGAATGACGATAAGCAAATTGTTTCCGAATAGAATTTGGTCCCGCGATTTGTGTGTGGTATCGTTGACAAGGAGCGAAACTATATTCACACAATCGCGTGACTAAGCACTGAATGTCAGTGCGTTGACTAAATACTGGACGAGTGCTACCGCATGGCAAGGGTATTGTATAAATACCTGTTGCACTTCGGTAGGTGCGTCATTTGCAAATTCGCTGTGGTGGAGCGAACACGGAAGAGCTCTTCTTCACACACATACTATATTCATTGCACCAGCACACGCAGTTGTTTCACAATAGGCTTCTACATATGGCTATGCATGTTAGCGCATGTGCTAACAGAACCCAGAAGTGCATAAAGTTCTGCGACACTGACCAATTTCGAGTTAACTTGGAGAGCTTTCCAGGGCCCTATACCTGATTTAATTTTGAGAGTTAGGATAAGTTACTCAGCTGCCTGATTTGTGCAAGTTTCGTGGCTCATTAGTTATTTTTTTAGTTTGTTACAGCAGTTGAAACGGCTGTCTGACCAAATACTGGTAATTGACCGAATACCGAGCGCGCTACCCTAGATCTAACTCTTTTATTTACAAACGATCCAACATAGAATTTGACAAATCTATGCAAAACCTTTACCCCAGAAGAGCAAAAACTTTTTCATGAAATTGGCAGGAATTTGAATACGTTTACTTGATAAACAACTTTGCATAGTAAGTCACATTATCAGCAAAATGGAGATGCCCATGTCGTGCTGAGAAACTTTACATTATGCTAAGTTTATACTTCTCTCATACACTTGGGTGGGAAATCTAGTAGATAATAATAGGCAAGAATACAATAAATCTCTCAGAATAGCTAAAGTTATTTATTGGGGTGAGGTTTCCTTTAATTTTCATTCAAAGTAATTGCAATTGATTTAGTATGCTACATGGCATGCTTTAGTCTAAGAGCTCTCCAGCTATAGCTTAACTTCTCACAGATAGCCCTTGTGTATTTGTTTCCATTGCAACAGGTAGGTAGCGGATGACTATGGAAGGGCCCAGTGGTAGCTTCCCGCAGATTGACATGAGCAACAAGCTGATCATCAAAGCCCAGCTAGGGGATGACATCAGGAGGATACCTATTCACAATGAGGACATCACCTATGATGAGTTAGTCCTGATGATGCAGAGGGTCTACCGAGGCAAACTCAATCCAAGTGATGAAGTCGTCATTAAGTATAAAGATGAAGGTATGTCAGGGTGCTCTATCAAATATATTGTCCATTTAAGGCAGTTAAAGTTAGGATGATTTAGTCAATACCACTTAACCAGCAAACGTAGAGAACATATTGAAATCATAAAATTCCTGTGTGTAATGTATGTTTGCTCTTCTAAATTTGCTACTGTGTGGGGTTTTGTGTAAAAAGGAACGAAACTCCTTTATTCTAAGGCAGGTATAAATATCCATCTATTTTCATTTTCACCAGTAAGACTACTGCTACTGCCATTGTTTAGGGTTTATCCTCTTCTCCTCCCTCCCCTCAAAAAAAAAGTTGACAAGTGCTTTGGATTTCTTTGCTCCTCTTACAAATGTACATGAGTATGCACATGTACACATATATATTTAGTTATTTTTTTTTATTTTTGTTAAATTAAAAATTCTGTCATCTCTTTAATCTGCACAAATAAATGTTTTTCTTTGACAGATGGTGATCTGATTACAATTTTTGATAGCACAGATCTTTCATTTGCAATCCAGTGCAGTCGAATTCTGAAAATCACATTGTTTGGTAAGTCATTAATCAAATCTTGTTCTTTTACTTTTCTTAGAAAGTTTAAACCTCTTGCTGTCAATGCTTTTATGTTTAATGAGGCACTGTTGATAAAGCGCTCTTGATGATAACAATTAAACATAAAGTAGAGTTCTGGGTCCCCTTGCATAAATATGACCATTGATGGTAACTTTGCCATCAATGGCAGCTACCATGGTAACAGGGCTCAACAGCCAATCAAAATCAAGTATTCCATGGAAGTTACCATTGATGGCAAAGTTACCATCAATGATAAGTTTTATGCAACGGGACCCTGGTTATGCGACTGCATTTTGAAAGAAACTGTTTCGAAGTGATTAGAAAATACATGATCTCCATGTAACACATAGTTATTCGTGTAAACTATGAGATTGTGGAGTCATCAAATTTGATTAGAAATTGGCCCAGTCTATACTAAAAGTCACATCATCCGTACATATGTGGCGTAAAAGTGTGGTCCACAACAGTTAGCTGTTTCTAGTCATATTTTGAAGATGAGGGCCTTTTCAGGGGACATTATGTGCCCTGATACTCTTCCATACTAACATAAACATAATGAAAAACCTCACAAAATATTTTTCACCTATGCCAGAATTCAATCATCTCTTTAATCATTGAGTTTTGGTAATATGGTTTGCTTAGAGCTAGATGGTGTTTACTGCTATCATTTAATAAAGAACAGTTAAAGATAAAGACCAATTATGGTCATGCGATTGCATTGTGAAAGAAACAATGTGGAATCGATCAGAAAAGGTTGATCATCTAGCATATAAGTATTGGTGTGTACTGCATGGTTCTGGAATCATCAAAATGATAAGAAATTTGGCCCAGTCTTCGTGAAGTTACAAGCACTTTACACAGAAAGATGTATATGGGACTACGCACACGTTTATCTCTCACAGTCCATTAGATAAACTAATTTACCAAATATATCAATTAGTAGGCAGTTTCCTGGCAAAATTGTTATCATCATGTATTAGTCAAAACATATTCTTTCACATGATTGGTAATAAAGAGCTTCCATTTCATTTTTTGAAATTGGGGCATTTCCAATACTGGTCTTTACCTTTTATAAAGAAAAAAAGTTAAATGACCATCTGGTTCTTTGAAACATGATTATATTGAATGTCTTGGGTAATAAATAAATCCAGCCATAATGTCTTTAGATGTATACAACGAATAAGTTAGCTATAAATGTGAATAACCATGCTCTATGCGGCCCTATAACTCCCGGCTTTGGACTTCTTCCAATCTCATGCTGTGTCTGATCTGCCTATAGCTTATCCTTCTTTAATTAGATCAGTTATCAATATGTCAGGGTCATCAACAGACACAAATGCTAACATGTAAAATTGCAACTTGTAGGAATGTGAACTGATGTTTTCTTTTGTGCACATGATGAGCAAAATGCCTTAGGTCCCTTATGGCTGGGTTCCTAGAAGTTGTGGGGTTCTTAGATGCTTTCTGATGCGATCTGGAGGCTGAGCTATACTTTGAAGCATTTTCAAACAACACTTTTTACTACTATTTCATAAATAATTTTGGTTGAGAATGAAACTGAACCTGTCACTGTAACATTTTAAAACCCTTTGAGAACCGCCATGATGTATTTTACCCTCCATTATTGTTGTTGTTGTTCTACTTATGTTGTAACTATTTGAGCAAACTGTTACCTTTTTGATTTTTTTTCTATGAGTAAATTAATTATTTGTCAGTTGTATACCAGTGGAAAATCTTTGTCATAATGGATGATTAATACTTATTTCAATTTCAAATTTTAACTTCAACTTAAGTTTTAATTTTAATTTCAGTTCCAACTCCCATTCCAATACCAATTTCGATTCAAATTCCAGTTTCAAGTATAATTCCAATTTCAATACCAATTCCAGTTATTATTCTAATTCCAAATTCATTCCAATCCCAATTTCATTCCAATTTCATTTCCAATTCTACTTTCAATTTCCATTTCAATATTTTAGTCAATGGTCAGCCGAGACCAATCGAGAGTGACCAGTTGAAGAACCTGAGGCGAGAGCTGCAGTCGATACGGAACCAAGTCAACTTTCTGCTGGATTCTTTGGAGCCCCGTGTACCCATCGAGAAACCTGAAGGTACTTGTAAGCCCCCTGAACGATCAAAGAAAAGAACCAAAGGTATATTTTTAGGGTCCTGGAAACAGGACTGCCATCATTATCATCGAGTTGAAGCTAGCAGCATGAAAACTAAACTGCTTTCATCTGGCAAGTATGGGTGCTTTAAAGATCATCCGGGTGGAAAAATCAAACACTCAACCTGTTTTTCTGGACAGTTTAAAAGACTTTACCAGTAGTTGAACCCAGGGATTTTGCAGGTGGATGGATATTTCAGCAGAAAAGGTATCGAGTCGAGTGCAGTCCATCCCAAACCAGAGTTGCAAAAGGTTCATAATTTTGCGAATGCATACTGTCAACTCGAGCATTGCTTTTATCCTCCCAAACCAGCTCCTTGTGATGCTTCAAGGGTTAACAAATTCCTGCTCAAAAGCCTGGATGTACATATATGTATCCCTTTAAGGACAGGGATTGTTAAAGGGACAAATTGATCACATTTTGTTCTTCAAATTGGCAACAAAAGTATTTTTCTTTCAATACTACATGTAATAAAATGGAATATCTTTGAAAATAATATACATTGGTATGAAACCAATGATTTGAACCTCCGAACATGTTGCCAATTCAAGAAAGCTGAGACTCATCTAAGACCCAGAGTTAAATGCAATATGGCCAGGCAGCACAATTTGTCACAGTGTATACAGACATTACTGCCCTTTTTGCGCATTCATCTGGTATATTTTTAGGGCTCTATATAAGTTTTTGAGCCAAACCACGAAATGTGGAATGATGTTCCGACAGGGAGATGAACAAAGCTAATGCTTTTCATGGATAACACATTTGCATGATATCAAAGACATCATCTACTCTGCATGAGAGTTAACAACACACTTACCATCTACCCAACCAGTGTATAGGTGATAGGGCTTTTTCAATTATCAACCCAAAACCTGGAACTCCTTACCCCCTGTATTAAAGAAATAATAATAATAATAATAATAATGATAATGCTTTTCATAGATAACACATTTGCATGATATCAAAGACATCATCAACTCTGCATGAGAGTTAACAACACACAGGGCTTTTTCAATTATCAACCCAAAACCTGGAACTCCTTACCCCCTGTATTAAAGAAATAATAATAATAATAATAATAATAATGCTTTTCATGGATAACACATTTGCATGATATCAAAGACATCATCAACTCTGCATGAGAGTTAACAACACACAGGGCTTTTTCAATTATCAACCCAAAACCTGGAACTCCTTACCCCCTGTATTAAAGAATTGTCAAACTCTCTCTTGAAATCACATCTTTGTGGCTGAAACCCCATCTGAATGTTATGTGAAGAAAAACAAAATTGTTTTTTCTTTGTAGGTGATTCTGTTTTATGCGCTTTTAAGTATATCATGAAAATATGCTTTGAAATATAAAATATATTATTAACAGCTAAATTTGTAACTAATCATACATGTATGGCTGACATTCTTCACATATTGAACATGAACAATGTGGTTGAAAAATGCTGGATAGAGAGTTGACCTTTGACCTTTGACCTAATCAGATTAATTATATAAGGCTTTCATTGCCCCAAATGATAGAAAGTAAAATGTAGAACATAAATAACGCATGCAATAATCAAAAGCAGGTTTCCTTGTCATGTACCACTATGACCTTCCAAAGTTTTAATGGGAAGTGAAATAGACAGCAGAATATGTCATTTGGGTACTATGATATGAATTGCATAATGGGGATATTTTTAGGCTCTAAAGTTCTAAACTCTTTAATGGAACTGAAAATGGCCAAGGTTTTTGAAAACAATGAAATGTGATGAACTTTTGCCATATCTTACACTGTGTTTTTCCTGTACAGATCAAATTAACGATATAGGTTTTTTTTTTGTAACCAACTAATTTTTTTCTTCTTCATGTCACCCAATGATTTTTCACATAAATTAGACTATATTGCTGTGATCAAACATTTATAATTTTTTTAATGCACATTGAAAAGTAAAAAAAATGAAGATCCTTTAGAGACATTTGTATTAAGTGCTATATAAAAATTAAATATTATTATTATTATCCTTTCATTCAAAAGTTGTGTTTCACCTCGGACAACTGCTACTTTTTTTCCCTTCCTATAAACAGAGAATACATCCGAGGAACAAGCCGAAGCAAAGCCAGCCGTCAGCACAGCTCAGACTGCCATGTTTGATCCATACAAACAGCAAGCCCCAAACCCAGCTGTCATCAGTAGCTTCGGTATTGACAAAGATGGTAGGTGACAAGAGAAAATAAGAAATGAAATGTGTGCTTGCCTGGTATTAAGAGAGAATTTGAGCTGTAATTATCTGTGTTAAAGATTGTTTTTTTAAGATCTCTGTAAGTGGTGAAATGAGTCAGACTTAAATCTTCAGACCGTGAGGGATAGAAACATTAAGTGTTATCTGGGCAGTGACGATATCACCATGTTTATTGTCCGTGATGTAGACACAGTGGATGAGAAACAAACCTCTCAATCCTCTTCATACATGTACAAATGGGTGAGTGTCTCCTTGACAAAGGTTAAAGGTGACTTTTCATTTCCTAATAGACCAGCATAATAATAGCATTAATATGACGACACATTAACATGACGATACAGTGCATAATGATAATTCTGGCAGTGAGAAAATACATTTGTTTGCGTTATAGCTCTGGAATCCCCTAAAAAGCTTTGGGATTTAGTAAAATGCTCTGGTAAGTGACATAGAATAAATCATTTGAAATACAAAGGAATGGCACAAGGAGATCTCTCATCTGAGATATTACTAATTTTTGCTGTTGAAAGTTTGGCAGACCTGTATGAAGTAGTAATGATAAGTCTAGTGTCATACCCATTCATGTCTCTTCTATAGAAGCAACAGAGAGGCCAGCCTCGCCTGCTGACAGCGTCTCAAGTCGGAGCTCTAACATCGGTCAACAACAGCAGAGGCAGCAGCCCCCTGCCAACCAAGCAGGTGCACCACCCCACCCCCAGGCTAGTGCCCCTGGGGTCACACAGGGCATGTCACCAGCTCACTCGCCCCGCCCTGCCCCCCAGCAGCCCGGAATACCCCAGCAGCAACAACAACAGCAACAGCAGCAGCAGCAGGCTTATGCTCGTAAGTGATGCTTGAATGCCGTTACCTCTGTCTTTGATCTCACAAGTAGATTTACTTTGTTTCAATATTTTGTCTGTTTGAAGCCAGAAGGACATTAACTCATATCATTTTACACAAAGCAGTGTTCTCATGATCATGGAAAATTCTAAAATTCCTTTCAAAGTCATGAGAAGTCACGGAAATTGACCGTTGGCGTGGGCCGTGTATGGCTATGGAACCCTTCCAGTTTGAACTGACAATTCGTACATCGCTTGGATGCCACAACCCATACGGAAATGGTATTTATCTGATCATGTAAAGTCATAGAAATTGGTTCTTAAATTTCTGTGGGAACCGTGTCTAAGTTAATGCCCTTCTAGCTCCAAACTGTTTCTCAGATAGCACCAAATTATACTCAATGTACATGCATCAACTACATTACATATAAAACATTCCTTGTGCACGAAAGAAGTTTTGATTGGCCCAGATTTGTGTACTGGTAATTTAATGCTTCAATATGAATAAATTGTAAGATTGCAATTTGCGTAATATTGTTGCTGTGCATGTGGCCAACGTTAACAATCTACCAAAGATTTTGGCTACACATTTACTTCTTTCAGCATGTTCCAAAGAATTTTGAGCTTGCCAGCATGGAATCCAATGCATTTTCATGTAATCAAACAATTCTACTTCAAATCTGAATCAAGCATTGTTGCTTCTGAATGCTAAACTCTGACCACTTTATTTAGCTTATCATGTGCATGGAGGTGTTTTGGTCCAGTGGATAAGTTTCCGGACTGTGAATCTCATGGTTCAAATCCCTATTGCAGCACTAATGTCCTTTGTCAAGACGTTAATCTAAATTTGCCACATTCCACCCAGGTGAGGTAAATGGGTACCTGGCAGGGATTTATTGCTTAAAGTACATTGTAATGGCAGCCGTGGTAAAACCAGGGTAATAATAATGGAGCGTCAAGAGAGGCAATGTGCCAGACATGAGCGCTATGTAAGATTCTACTATTATTATTATCATTTGTATGGGTAGAATTTGCATTAGGTCCTCGGTTGCGTTCATTTAATTCTTTTTTTAAAGAAGAAAACAAATTAAACACTGATAGTTTTGTAAGTTGCAGGTGACTGTGCGCCTTTGGCAAGAAATTATGATTAATTGGTACCAGAAAGGGCACTTATCAAGAATGTTTAGTAATTTAATGTACATACCAAAATGTAGGTTGTTTGATTCCATTACTGCCTTCATACTACCCTAATATGCATGTTGTAATATTTAATCAGTTTGTGTGTGTGCTGAAAATGTATACCGGTAACCCGGGCCCCCCCCCTCCCACTCCGAGGTCGGAGGGACCGCATGCGTGTTCGCAAAATGTCCAGTAAAGGGGTACTTTTCACGCACCAAAGTCCGGCTCGTAGTACACAAAAATCCGGCCCGTATTGACTTTACACACCGGACTTAGGGGGGTGTTTTCAAAAGAAGGGAACATGCATACGCATACCCTAAATAACACTGAGTGGGGGGGGGGGGGGCGGGACCGGTAACCAGATATACTGCATGCAAATGTCTTGTTGTGACTAACATATCCCTCTAAAAAAAAATACTGCCAAGAGGCTGCAAATGGATGCATGATATTCTTGTCTTTCATGATATTGTAGAGCTAGAACCTCATGGCGTAGGAGAATAATTATGCATGCTTTCACCTTAAAGCCATGCCTAGATCCTACCCCCCTCCCCTCTTGAAAAAAATGAATTAATAAATAAATAAAAATTGTTAAGTTGAAATGAAGTAGATGGCTTAATTTCATAGAGTGAAAAAGGACTCAATTCTACTCAATTCTACTCAATTCACATTACTTAGATAAAATCATAAAATACATTAACTAAAGACATGTAATTCCATACATAAATACATTTGAATGACATAAACAAAATATGTATATTTAAATGATATTGACAGAACTAAATTGGGCACATCTGAAAAAAGAGAAGAAAAAAAAAGTATTTTTCAAGATGGGTCCCCTGATGAAACAGGATTTGGTAAACCTGAATGGCATGAATGGCAGGAAACAAAAATCTAGTAAAGTATATGAAACAGAGTAATTGCAGAAATTGCATTTTGAACAACACAGACCAAGAATACAGCATGATAGGACAGGAAAGAGAAAGGCCGGCAAAAAAAATATTTAAAAAAGGAGAAAAAGAGGAGAAAAAGAACCTGATACATACATTCAGTGAGAGCCATGTATGATACAAAACTGTTTGTTTTCACTTAAAACTGTTATAAAAGGAAATTGAAGTTACATTATTTTAGTAGTAGTAGTAGAAGTAAACTTGTCGATTTTGAATAAATTTTTCTTTGTCTTCATACCTTTTAGTCAATGAGAATAATTGAACCATGCATGTTGGTGCAATTGTGCTTCTTTCCCTTAGCCCAATCGACAAGCCAAGCCACTGCACCAGGGCTGTTTGGTGCTCCTCCTACTTCCATAGGATACCTGCCAGGTACTGCATTATCTGGGGAGAGTGGGGCAGGGTGGAGAGAGAGAGAGACAGAGAGAAAGAGAGAGAGAGAGAGTGGGGCGGGGTGGAGAGAGAGAGAGAGACAGAGAGAGAGAGAGAGAGAGAGTGGGGCGGGGTGGAGAGAGAGAGAGAGAGAGAGAGAGAAGAGGTGGGGAGAGAGAGAGAGAGAGAGAGAGAGTGGGGCAGGGGTGGAGAGAGAGAGAGGGGGCAGGTTGAAGAGAGAGAGAGAGAGAGGGATTGGGCGGGGAGGAGGAGAGAGAGAGAGAGAGAGAGAGAGGGTGTGGGGCGGGGAGGAGGAGGAGAGGAAAGAGAGGATAGAGGAGCAGGATGGGAAGAAAGAATAGGAGGGAGAAATGGGTGAAGAAAGGGAAGAGTAGAAGGAGAAAGGGAGTGGGAGGAGAGGAGAGGAGAAGAGAAGGGAGTGGAGAAAAGAAGGGATAGGAGTGTATTCATACATTCATGTTTTTATGTTTGTCGTTCGTGTGACGTTTTGCATCCCAAAATGCTATGTCTGAACAAAATTGCATGCAACCTTTAGCACCTTTTGCATAAATGATTATTATTTCTTGCAGCTGCCCTCATTAATCAAGGGGTGCTCAGTTAGCTAGTACAGGTGGAACTTTGTTCATAAAACATTACAAAGCCAACTGACTGCATGTCCTAGCATGTAGTCATTTCACCAGTAAGAGTCCTATCTCACACCCCGGGACAACGTGTCTGACACGGCCGGTTGTAGCAACTACTCCAAAGATCAAGATACTAATCTTGATCTAAGGAGACACGAACGAACGAACCAGTATGCTTTGTAAGGTTTAATACATGTTGGTCCTACCGTATATGAAACCTTTTTGAAAAGGGATAGTTTCATAGTCATACCAATACCTTTGTTTGACAATAATCTGTTCCAGTTTGGTACACAGATCACAACATTTCATATATTTACTTTTTTCATTATTTTTTTGGGAAGTATTGAAGTTCAGACATGTTTAGTTCTATAATAAAATGCATCTATCTTCAGTTTTATTACATAGTTTTTAGATTCCTTGAGCTAATTTGCATTACCATACATGTTCTTAAGGGAGAGAGATACTGAAAGGTCTAGATTTGTATTTACATGATTGCAAATACTGTTTAATATTTGTACATCAGAATATTAAAGTATTGGTTTGTTGAAGCAGGTTTTTAGCAGTGATGAATTTAATTTTAATGTGTAATGATATTTGTTTTTCAGGTAACATGCCCCAGCCCACGCAACAACAACCACAGCCGCAACCACCTGTTTCTCAAGGCTACAACCAGCCACAAGCCCCCTTCAGTGGTCAACAAGAACAGCCACAACAACAGCAGCCACAAGGCTACTACCCACCTCAACCACAGCAACCTGGGTATACTCCTCAGCAACAACAGCAACAGCAACCTGCTCCTTATAGTGCATACCAGCAGCAACCAGGCCAGCAGCCAGGGCAGCAACCTGTACCGCAACCTGCTGTACAGCAACCTGTACAGCAGCCCGGGGGGCAACAACCGTACCCAACGCCAGCCGGTGGGCCCGGAGCGCCTGGAGGGCCTGGCAACCCCTACGCTAGGAACACCCCCTATGGCAGGCCCAGCACGTACCAGCAGCCGGGATTAGGCTATAAATGAGTGTCGCCCATGGGTGAAGAGCCTGATAGAAACATGGAGAGAAGCTGAGAAGCATATTTTTTTTTCTCATCCCAATGGTTGATTGGCTACCCTCATCTCAGTAATTTGATAACTAGAATGATAAATCGGTCTAAGTAGAAAATGTAATGCTCATGGGTCTTCAGCATTGGTTATCTTGGATCCAATTCTTTTTCTCCATTTTATTGTTAGAAAAATATGGATATGTGGCTTGCCCATTTGTCTTTTCTGATAATTAACTTCTCAAATTAACAAATAGTAGAATCTGTAATAATGAACATGAAATTGTAATGAATATCTTCCAGATTCTTGAAAATTCATTATAAAAAATGTAATTCCTTTCACCATGATTACAATATATTTCTTTTTGAAATTTGAAGGGGGTAATACATCCCCATTTAGTCAAAGAGTTGATCTTATTACTCAGAACCTGATCACTTAGTGTAAGAGACATAAAATGATGCTTACCGAACATGTCTCTGGTGACCTTGGCCTCAAGGCCCATTCACACATCACCCTGTAATCAATGCTCGATCAAAATAATACCATTTTTTGTTTTGGTTTGTACGAATGAACTAGAAGCAGGATGTGTCAAAAAGGACATGTATCTATGTGTAACAAAGGCCCCTAAGCATAGCTATGTGTTAGTCCACTTCATGCATACTACGCCTAGGCTATGTCGCTTTATGTGGGTAAGACATATCGTCCCTATTTTCACGAAGTGACGGTAGTGAGGAAAATCCGCACGCAAATTGTATGCGATTTTCATTCACTACCGTCACTTCGTGAAAATAGGGACGATATGTTGTACTTTTTGAGGCAGTTTACCGCATTATATGGGAATGAGGCTTGAGTGACCAAACATGAGATATGGTTCGTGAGGAAGAATGCCATAAGTCTAAAGGTGTAGAGCAAACTTTACCGTTTGTTTTTCGACCGCATTATTGTCTTGGTGATATTCTGTCAATATATATTAAAGAACGTCTACAAATATTTTGGTCTTGCAGATGGTCGGTTTCATGAACCTTCAAAATACAAGGAAATCTGCGGGACCAAACTCATTGATCTTGCAGCCTGTGGTTAACTCTGCTATGCCGTGAGAGAGAGAATACCAAAATCTGTCAAATTCCAGAGTTTAATTATGCTTCTCTCCTGTTTCCATGTTTCTCTTAGATTCCTCTCTTTCTCCCTAGTTTGTACAGAAATTCACAGATAAGTCTCATGACAGTATATTGTTCACTATTTTGTTGTATAAAATGACCAATCTAGCCAAAATTGGAATGATTATAATATATGTGTGTATGTAGATAAGGGGAATGCTAATGCAATGTAGAGGTTCATTAGATAAGCAGAAATGTAGCTGTGCTTTATTTTAGAAATGACTTGTAGAAGCTTGAATACGTCCAGTTTGCATACTTTTTATATGACATGGTCATTGTTGGTTGCCCCGATCGGATGAAGAGTGTATATGTATATTCATTATTCAATGATGAGAAAATATGAGTTCCAAAATTCCAATGATTTACATGATCATTACATTTATTATACATCAACATTTTAGTGATTATGTTACCCAAGATATACATTTACCCAATTTAAGAATGATACTTGTACTTACTGGGATGTAATTGAATTTCTTTTATAAACAGCTGGGGCTGAACTTACGGTGTAAAGCTTAAAAAAATTAAAATCAGGGAAGAATGATAATTATATTAATTATGATGTTGATTTGTATACTTTAAGTGTGTTTGCCTGTATGATCCTGCAAATCAAATATTACCTGGATGCTTGGTCATTACTTTTTATCGGTTTCTAGCTCTGTAGCATGTTGTCTCTCCTGATACAGTATGCTGATAACATGCATAATGCTGTCAGGAAATCATAAGAAATGATGTTCTGATCCATACCACAGCTCTAAGTCGACAATTGCCACTCACAAACCAGGTAGGGAGAAATTCATGGATAGCCCCAGCACTTTATCAAGGCAGCATCCATGAAGAGCCCCCCCCCCCCCCACAATATAAATATTTGAATTGAAATTAAAAATAATCATACCCCTCTAAGTAAGAGACTAGATATATGGTGCAATATTAGTGCATTATATTATTTCATGAAATGGGTCCTAGAATGTACGCAATCTAATTGGTCAAATGAAAACATGTGACTGTGTATCATTCTTTCTTACCCCACCTATAATGCAAAAAGGTTCCCAGCACTAAAAATGATAATGCACAGCATATCTCTGGTTTGTAAAAGATTAAAATGCAATGAACTGCACTTTATGTGAATACAATTTCCAAATAATGTTGTTATTGTTGTTTGTAGTTGGTTATAACAACTCTTCTACTGCATGATAGCCAATATAATTTAGAATTCTTATCAGCCAGTTTATCTCCCAAGTGAAAGTCTCTACTTTTAAGGAATGTGTCATAGAGAGGATATCATTAAGTAGAAGATTTTGATTTTTATCACTGGGTAGTTGGTTAGTCGAACAGAAATGATGGAATGTGTCTGAAGAGGCCAAAATGCAGAGGTATTCGTTTATACAATTTAAACTGATTTGTGTATGTGGTCTTTGTGCATGTTATGTGTATCATGTATCATTCTTAAATAAATAACGGGGAAATAGCATTTTTTCCTTCTTTTTTCCTTAACTGTGTGCAGTATGTCTAGCTATGATAACATGAGAGGATTCAAGTTTCTAATGTCATTTCAACCATTATTATTTAGTGGACTTAGGGTTATCACAGGATTCATGCTCCCATGCAGGAAGAGAGAGAAAAGGAGAGAAAGAGAAAAAGAGAGAGAAAGAAAAAAGAAAGAAATTGAAATATTGAGAGAGACAGAAGAAGAAAGGAGAACAGGGTGGATAAACAGATGAATAAATGAAAATGTGTAATAAGTTGTAGAGGTTAAGATGGTGAGAGATAAAGTAAAATATTGGAGAGGAGGGAGGGTATAGAAGATGAAGAAAATAAGAGAAAGACTTTGATTCTGATCTGGTATATAGATCTTTTTCAATTGATTTGTGTTCAAATATTGAGAAGGAAATCCCATTTCACCCCAAACATGTTATTTGCACAGATGAAAAAACTATCGAAATTTGAAGAAATTGGATGTAAATTATATCTCACTCCATCCATGTCCCGAGTCCTCATAATTGCTAATATAAATCCTGTTTAAGAAAAGACAATCATCACGAAATTAATTACAGGTCCATTTCTATTCTTCCCAGCAAATCCAAAATCCTAGAAAAGATAATTTACAATTGGCCTAGTTTTTAGATACTTTTCATTCCTAAATCGAAATAAATATGGTTTCAGAAAAGAAAAAAAAATGTGTTCTTACCCGCTGTATTAGTATTCTTGCTCGATCCTCTTGTACAATATCAATGCAGAAGTTTGAAGGTGAGATGTATTATGTCGGTCGGCCGACAATTTTTTTCCCCCTACGAACCGTGACTTTTTATCGGACAAAGAAACATTTTCTTTTTTTCTTCTTTTTTCTTCGCGCGGGAGGGGCGAAATCGAATTGAGACAAGGATTAAGAGTAATAATTTGATGAAATGTCAAAGTTTCCGCGCTTCGCACGGGAGGGGGAAACTGTATTCTGACCAGGATTAAGAGTAAAAAACAATACAACGAATAATGTGTTTCTTTCTCCAATGATTTAATGGAATGTCAAACTTCCGCGCTTCGGGGGGGGGGGGGGGGGGGGGGGGGGTAGTCATTTTTTTTTTGGTCCTCGAAAATTTAAAAATTTGCACCCCCCCTCGAGCGCCAGGGGGGGGGGGTCTTTCTTGCTCCCTCGACGAGACGACTCCACCCACAAACCCCCTCTCTATTTTACTCCCACTTCTCCTCTCGCAGGCTCTTTCCTCCCCCCCCTCTCTCTCTCTCTCCTCTCTTTCATCCCCCGTTTCTTTTGTTTCCCTTTCCTTTTCTTTCTTTTCCTTTTTTCCTCTTCTCCTCTTTTTATTTTTTCTCTTTCTTTCTTCTCTTTTCTTTCCTTTCTTTTCCTTTCTCTCCTTTTTTCCTTTTCTTTTTTCTTTTCTTCCCCTTTCCCTCTTTTTTTCCTCTTTTTTTCCCTCCCCCTTTTCTCTTTTTTTCAGACGGCAGCGAAATTATATTGACAATATCCTGATATATCGTGTCGTCGTGGAAAATGACTATTTGAAAGTATAATATAGAGTTCATAGAAAAAACAATTTAGCCTTCGGCCCCGGGTTTATAGGTTTAAATTTGTAGATATTGGGACATTTAATTTTGTCGGTAATTGGTGGCTAGTTTTGTCGGTAGTCGTTGGCCTCTACATCCCCCCCCCCCCTGAAAAAGGTCTAGTGACGCATTTGCTGACACGACCAGGAAATGACAGGTCTTGGCTTTGCTCAAGGTTTTAGGAATTGTGGTCAAGTGTCACAATGGAGTCTGTGCTTGCAGACTAGGATTACAAGTTCGAGTTCAAGATCATTTTATTCAAAACCACACAAAACATGATCTTTTACATAAAAAAGAGACTGGTAATAGTACATTCATCAACATATTAAAGATAAACTTTAGTACTGGTAATGCGATTGCATTGTGAAAGAAAAGGTGTGGAAAGGATCATGCAGAAACAGTTGATCACGGCATGTAAGTATTGGTGTGCACTGCAAGGTTCTGGAGACATCAAAATCATAATAAATTTGACAGAGTCTTGGTAAAGTAACAAGCACTGTACACAGAAAGCTATATATGGGACAACACACATGGTGTCGGGGCTAGTACTACCTTGATTTCCTTGTCTTTCTATGCTCATTTCTCAGCCAGTATACATTTTCTTCCAAAATTGTTTGACACATGTTATTTATTTGTAATCTTGAACATTCAGTGTAAATTTCGTTTGATTCTGTGCGAAGTAATTTTTTTTTTTTTTACCACAACTGGAGTTTATCTTTAACTTGGTTACATCATAAAATTAATGGTTTTAGGACCCCTGTAGAAGCTAAGCTTGTGAGCGGGGCCAGTCAAATACACTGATGGGCAAGTCCTTGGTGGTCAAAAAGCAATAGAGAATGAAAAATTATTAAGATACAAAGTAGAATTATGTCAGTCTTCCCAGTAGGTATCTTTTTAGATATCCTTCTAAAGCTAGAAAGATCAGGCAAACTGTTCCACTCTTTGATGCAAGAGATATAGAAAGAGGTCAGAGTGACATTTGTTCTTGCAAAAGGCTGATGAATAATAAAACAAATATTTTTTTCTCAAAGGTTATGTTGCTATTTTTCCAAATAATTTCATTTGGATTTTTCCTTACTTTAAACATATCAATGAATCTTAGTTCCGACCAAGAACAAAATAGATCTGCATAAAATTCTGCTAAATTATGTTTTATTAGTGCATAATCGATTCATATCTTTTATATTACAATTGCACTATAAACAAAGTGGCAAGCCCCTATATTTTATCTGACCAGTATCTAAACATATATTTCAAGTTAGAGCCATTATCACTAAAGAAACGAAATATCCATGCCAAACAAAGTGAAGACATTTTACAAGCAACATCAATCACATTCAATTCACCATTTTCAATATCATGTATAATAACATTACGTTTAATTTTTGAATTCCATAAGAATTCCATAAGAAACAAAACGATAATCTATTCAAAATCTGTAAAAACATGTTTTGGAAATGCTACAAGAGTTGCGGTATGCACAATTTGTGACACCGCTAACATTTTCAATTAATCATTCTACCATAAATGTAAGATATCTGATTTTCTACATTTTAATACATTTCGAATTTTATCTATATTTACATTCCAGTTTAAATCTTGTAACAATTTCTTATTTTCGCCTACATATACTGAAAAGGTTGATCTTTGATATATAATGTCATTATCATGAAAAAATTTATCTAAAATATTCAGTTTCATAACTTCTGTCCTATTTTAATCCAATTTACTTTCGGACCTGCATTGTCTCCAAAATCGTTAATTTCATTCATAACATATTGTACATCATTCACAGAATTCACAAATAATGTCGTATCATCCGCATTTCGGGAATTTTTAAAAATATCGATACCTAACTTAACACTGAATATATCAATCCCTTTAATGTTTTATTTTGTCTTATTTTACATGCTAATACTTCCACTACTATGTTAAAAAGTAATGCCGATAAGAGCATAACCCTGGCGAACTCCTCTTTCAATAATAATTTCGTTTGAAATCCATCCATTTATATTTATCACACGATCAATGGCATCAGTATACAAGGCCTTTATCCAGGTGATAAAAGCTTCTTTAAAATTGAATTCACGTAATACATAAAAATAGGAAAAATGGGACACATTGTCAAATTCTGTAAACAAAATCTAAACAGAACTATTGTATGTCTCTAAATAGTCAATCATATTAACCGTATGTTTTCTTCTGCGGATCTTTTCTTTATAAAACCTCTTTCATCAGTTGACATGATACTTGATGAAACACGTTGAAATCTTTTAGACATTTCTCTCGCCGCAACTTTATAATCAGTATTTAATAACGAAATAGGTCTCCATTTGTTTAAATAACCCATACCCCCTTCTTAAATGATTGTAATGATACCCTGCCCTTGGGAAGAAGGTTATTTTTGTTTTTGATACCCCTCGTTTGAACTTGCAATAACCAAATCTTTAATTTCTAACCAAAAGTAAAACTCCGCACTGAGACAATCACTTCCAGGGGCTTTATTATTGTTCATACATTGTAATCAGTCTTCACATTCCCTTTCACTAAGTAACCCTTCACACTTCAATGCCTCTTCGTCGGTCAGGGTACTAACAATTATTGAATATTTAAAATATTTATTCACATGAACATTCCTTAAAGACTTTTTCAAAATATCTATGAATTTCCTGTAAACCCTCTTCATCATCAGTTATAATTTGCCTATATCGCACCTTATTTTTTTGAATAAATATCAATTGATAAATCACTTTCATTTAAAATTGTGATTGACATTATGTGTGTACTAATTATTACATGAATGCATAAGAAATTAAAATCAAAAATCAAAATCAATTCACTCAACTCACCACTTGAGTACTATATCGAGTATGTCACGAGCTTAATGTTATGACTGAAAATCTAGAAGCTTTATTTGTTGAAGTCTTTATTTCTGGTAAAAATAATATCGTAATTGGAGTCGTGTACAGACCTCCCAATGGTATTTTGAACATTTTTTTGGACGAAATGCAGATAGTTTTGGAAAGCCAGTCACTTAACGGTAAATCCTTATTTTTGGTTGGAGATTATAATATAAACCTTTTACAGCACAATGTTGATGCTCATGTTGATGATTTCCTGAATTTGATGTTGTCGTTTTCTTTGTTGCCCTTGTTAACAAAACCAACAAGAGTAACTGAATCCTCTGCTACTCTAATTGACAATATCTTTAGTAACTTACAACCTTTTCCCTTATCTACTATTGTTGTGTCGGACTTGTCTGACCATTTTCCTGTGTATACTGTAATTCCTTTGGGAAAAAAACTTGTAGTCACCCATAAGAACATTTATGTTAGAAGAAACACCCCAGAAAATATTAATCAGTTTAGAGAGGCGTTATTGGCGACAAACTGGAGTGATGTTCTTTTGAATCAGTGTGATGAGAGTGCCTTCGATATTTTCATGAATAGGTTTTTATCGTTGTATGATGCTAATATTCCAGTAGTAAAGAGTAAAAACAACCGTAGAAGAACTCCACGTATGCCGTGGGTCACCAATGCTATGCTGAAATCAAGAAAATGAGCTGTTTTATAAGTATAAGAAAGCAGGGACGGTAGCTCTAAAAAGGAAATATTCCGTTTACAGAAATACTCTGACTTCTGTGCTGCGTGCAGCCAAAAAACCATACTATTTAGCACAGTTTAAAGCAACTTACAATAATATCAAGGGCACGTGGAAGGTGATAAGAAATGTATTTCAAAAAGCATCTAAAGTAACAAGTATAATACAAATGAATATAGATGACCAAATGGTTGAAGATAAAAATATTATAGTGGAAAAGTTTAATGAATATTTTTGTAATATTGGTCCGAATCTGAAAAAAAATATTCCTAACAGTCATACTGATTTTCATGATTACTTAGTAGAACCTAACATGCAAAGTTTATTTCTGGTGCCCACAAATGAAGAAGAATTGCTTGGTATTGTTAGAGCCCTCAAGAACAAGAAAAGTCCTGGGTATGATCATATTGGGAACGAACTTATTAAGCAAGTTATTGTCGGTATCCTTCAACCACTAGTTCATATTTTTAATTTGTCTATGTCAAGCGGAGTTGTACCCATAAACATGAAGATCGCAAAAGTAATTTGTACCAATTTTTAAAAAAGGTGACTCTCAATTACTGACAAATTATCGTCCGATTTCTTTGTTAACCTGTTTTTCAAAAATTCTGGAAAAAATTATTTATGAAAGAACTATAACATTTTTAAACAAAACATGTGTCTTCAGTAATTATCAGTTTGGTTTTCGGGAGAAGCATACAACAACACATGCAATCTTACACCTTATAGATAAACTTGCTTCTGCCTTAGATAGTCGCTTACACACCATTGGTACATTTTTAGACTTTTCCAAGGCCTTTGATACTAGCTGTAGACCATGAAATTCTCTTAAGTAAATTATGTCATTATGGTGTCAGGGGAGTCGCCTTGGATTGGTTTAGAAGTTATCTAACTGATAGAAAGCAATATGTGTCCTTAAATGGAATTGACTCTAGTCCCCAAAAAGTAACATGTGGTGTTCCCCAGGGATCCATTTTGGGACCACTTTTATTCATTTTGTATATTAATGATTTTCAACGCTCATCAAGTGTATTATCATTCATATTTTTTGCTGATGACTCAAGTGTATTTTTTTCTCATAGATGTCCACAAACATTGTTGAAAACTGTTAATGAAGAGTTTCGAAAAGTAATGAAGTGGATTAATGCTAATAAGTTATCCTTGAATCTTCAGAAAACTAATTATATACTGTTCAGTAATTCAGTTAATATTTTGCCAGGCGAAGTGGCATTCAATAATAACCCAATTGAGAGAGTAACTTCAACGAAATTTCTTGGAATATACATAGACGAGAAACTGAATTGGAAAACTCATGTGGACAAATTAAGTAAAGTGGTGTCAAAAAATACTGGTGTTATTTATAAGTTGAGATCATGTATACCTCAAGAGGTATTATTCATTTTGTACTCTACTCTTATTTTATCATATATTAATTATGGTATGTTGGCATGGGGCAAATCATCCAAAACTCAAATCCACAGGCTTTTTGTTGTGCAGAAGCGGGTTATATATAAAGCAAATTATCGTGCACATACAAATCTACTTTATTATGAAAACAGTATTCTAAAACTAGAAGATCTCTATTCAATGCAGCTTGGAATGCTCATGTATAGCATTCACTCTGGAGACCTCCCTCCTGCCCTTGCTCAAATCTTTAGAAGAAATAACCAAATTCACAGTTATAATACTAAACAGGCCTCTGCTCTCCATTTACCATATGCAAGACAACCTTCACTTTGAATACGCTAATGTCCACTGGCCCCAGGTTCTGGAATTCACTTGATACTACCATAACAAATGCTTCAAGTATCTCAGTTTTTAAACGTAGACTTAAGTCATATTTTCTTGACAAGTATGTCGATGACACATGAATGTGTTATCAAGCTTTATTGTTAGTGTACTGTAGCATATTTAACTCTACTCTTGATCTTTTTTTCGTTAATTCTTGACTTTGACATATAACCCAATGGTGTAAAAGAAATAGGAAACTATGATCATTTTAAGAGGAAATTAAAGGAATACCTAATACTTGACAGTCAGAGAAGAGAAGTGAATGACATGTTATATGATTGAAATTTTTATTCTTCTGTCGGTTCATACTTTTTCATGTTGTATATACTTATGTTTTCGTACGTTATAGAATTTCTACAAATTCATCATTATTTTCCTCTTCTTCCTTCTCCTCTTTTTCTTCTTCTCCTTCTTCTTTTTCTTCTTGTACTTAATATCATTTCTATCATCAGTTTAAATGTTGTTATTATTATCTTTTTTTTTTAATAAGTAGTTCTTTTAATTTTCTTATCTGTCTGTAAATATTACTATTTTAACTTATTAATTTTATACATGTCTGTAAGGGACCCCACTGGAAATAAGCTCTCGAGCTTTCGTGGGTTATCCTGTTCAAGCTGACTTTTTTTGATCTGTTATTATTGTATATTGTTGTATGTTGGAAGCTTGTCGAATAAAAATCAATCAATCAATCAATCAACCCCCTTTATCCCTTTTCTTTTTTCTTCTTCTTTCTCATCTGTACATACTACATATACCATATATTCCTACTTGACCTCTGCACTCAGAGAGCAATAACTCATTGATGTCTCGACTTGGTGTTGGCTTGGGTTTGTCCATATTAGATCATATTAGATGCAACGTTGGGTAGTTGTTCTCTGAGAGTATTTTTTAAATAGTTTTATATATTCCATACTTTGTTGTTGTATTCATAAATAATTTGTCACATCATATGAGGGGGCCTTAACTTAACAAGCTGTGCTTGAACCAAGGTCTCCTCGTCTTCCTTTGTTCTACATTGTACTGTTATGATTATACTCTATTATATTTTGTCACATGTGTTTTCTGGAAGACAAATAAACTTGATACTTGATACTTGATACTATACGGTGTATGAGTTCAGTGGCCTAGCTCGATCGACGCAACTACTCGACTATACTTAAGTCAATTGAGGGCGCACTATCGGAAACATGTGTATGGTTATATGTACGCACGATTACAATACTACAGTGTAGCAGCCGAATGTGCCAGGTAATTTCTGCCTAAACTTTATTTATACAAATCTTTGCTTATAATTCTATATTTAAATTGTTCTGTTAATTTTCATAGGAGCTAGGGTTATACTGCCTGAAGTATAACATCTCAAGTTTGATCTATAACTCTACTAGACTCTAGTGGACTAGACCTACTGGAGTGTACAGAATTGTGGGTGTTTGAATTTCTCGTGAGGCGGGAGTCGGAATATTCCAGGCGGCTGCCTCTGCCGTGGAGCTAACTCCAGGAAGCTCCGACGCCGATGCCGAAGTCGTCGGAGCTTCAGCGGGTGCATCGGAAAACATTCAAACAGCGGGTTGGGTGACATTATCTCAAAATATGCAAAGGGAGTAATTACAATTTTGACTTACTAAAAAACTAGGTTGCTCGACTCCTCTTGGGCATCTGGCTGGCCACTTGAAATAAACTAAAAGTTAGTTTACGGTTAGACTTAGAGTCTAACAGTTACACGAAGCAATATTCCTTACATTTAGCGCTTGCGCAGTTACGTTTAATCGGTCTCCGCCTCATTTGAATTACCCGCCCGCGCCCCGCCCACGAATCAACGTTCTTGTTCCTTCTGATTGGATGTAAAAGACCCGCCATTCGCTTAACGTTACAAATTTGAGTGCGACGAGAGAGCATACTATTTTCCGTTTTTTTCAATACCAAAATTGTGATATTTCAGTCAAACCCTCTATTTTTAATGATTTTTTCACTTAAGTATTTCACTTAAGTATTTCACTTAAGTATAAGTCTTACTTAACTAAGAAAAATTATCAAAAAAGTCATATTTAAGGTACAAACTTGATTCTTTTCCTGAAATGTCCGTTCACGTTTCGTTTGCATGTGTATGGAACGCCATGTGTGCGTCACCTATGTGTAAAGTGCGTCACCTGTTTAAAGCCTGAAATTTCAGTGTTTTTGGTATCCATTTTTGTATGATTGACAGCTAGGGCGTCAGAGCCGAAGTTTGCTTCCTTTGTTCGGTAATAATTCCGAACCATACAGCTGAGTGTCGTATGAAATCGTTCGCCGTGTTTACGTCTGATTGTGACTGCGTCTATGTTGTACTTTGAACTGGTTGTGGTCAGCGTTCGTAGTATTTCCATGGTTACGCGTTTGCGCGGCCTGGCTTGGGGGAAACTGCCTGGCCTGGGGGAAATTGCCTGGCCTGGGGGAAACGGCAATATGATTTCGGCGTTTTGTAAAAACACACCAGGAACTAACTAAGCTCCGAAGGGTGCTCAACCGAGATTTGGTGGTCTCCATTCCTACATTAATTTCTTTGTCAAATAATAAGCACTTTGTCAAATAATTAAAGCACTCTGTCAAATAATTAAAGCACTCTGTCAAATAAATAAATGCAAATACAAGTCCGAAATGGAAAGTTGTAATATGACAATAAAATAACATATCAGTAATAGTTTCATAAATGAGAGGCAGGTTAGTATACTTGCTAACAAAACTGACAAATTTGATAAAAATGGTTAAATCTTGAGAGGATTTTGATCGTTTGACAGTATTATATAATTGAGTTTCCCAAATTATTTTCAGTAACAATGTTGCATTTTTTTTTGGGGGGGGGGGGGGGGGTAAAAAAAAATTAGTGGGGTTGGGGGCAGCTTTTTTTTTTTGGTAATTATTTTTTTAATATTTCTTTTTTGTATGTGTAGTATCATATTATTATCAATGTTATGCTTTCAGTCATCGCTTATTATATTCATAAATGTATATATATATCTCTCTCTCTTTCCGTCTCACTCTTTCGTCCCCCCTTCTCTCTCTCTCTCTTTTTCTCTCTTCCTCTCTTCCTCTCTTTCTCTCTCTTTATCATCACTCCAACTCTCCCTCCTCTACACCTCTCTCTTTCTCTGTCTTTTATTTAACAAAAATTTGAATTTGATCAATGACTTTTTAAATGCCTATCGGGGGTCTATGTTTGATTTTTGATTTATGTCATATTTTGTGTTATTTCAATTTAAATTGCAATTGTATGTTTGTGAAATGGATCGCAATTCAGCCATTGGCTGCGATGATCTTTCTAATAAGAACCATTTCTATTCTATTCTACTCTATGTATTCAAATATGTTATTCAGAGATGTCGGAGGGTATCATTAAATGTATAACTTATGTAAGTGCATACATCTTTGATGCGGTCATTCTTTTCCTGTTCAGTCCAATTTCATATTAGATCAGAGTGAGATGTGATGGAAAGGGGGTATGACATTGAGATAAATAATTAGAGAGAAAGAGAGAAGGAGAGAGAAAGAGAGAGAGCGGGGGGGGGGGGGGGGCCTTGTGTTGGATGTCAATTTTCAAAGCTCAAAAAAAAAACTATGCTCATTTTAAGAGGAAATTAAAGGAAAACCTAATACTTGACAGTCGGAGAAGTGAATGACATGTGATTGAAATTTGTATTCTTCTGCCGGTTCATACTTTTTCATTTTGTATATATTTATGTTTTCGTACGTTATAGAAATTCTACTAATTCATCATTATTTTCTTCTTCTTCCTCCTCCTCTTTTTCTTCTTCTCCTTCTTCCTTTTCTTCTTGTACTTATTATCATTTCTATCATCAGTTTAATGTTATTATTATTATCTTTAAAAGGTAATTCTTTTATTTTTCTTATCTGTCTGTAAATATGACTATTTTTACTTATTAATTTTATATATGTCTGTAAGGGACCCCACTGGAAATAAGCTCTCGTGGGTTATCCTGTTCAAGCTGACTTGTTGATTTGTTATTATTGTATAATGTTGTATGTTCGAAGCTTGTCGAATAAAACTCAATCAATCAATACATACATATACCTCCACACTCAGGCGCGGATCCAGAATTTCTTAGGGGGGGGGGGATTTGAAATTATGCAAGCCAAATATTGGTATGTAATGGTGACCCAGCAGTGGCGAAATGAGCAAAAACGTGTTATTGTTGATGTTGTTGTTGGTGTTTTTTTTGTTTTTTGTTTTTTGAGGGGGGGGGGGTAGAAACGATCAACGTAACGTAAATTAGCGTGGGGTCTAGGGTCGAAGCCCCGGCGGGGGTCAAGGGGAGGAGCACACAGAAGCTCAGGGAATATAGGCTTTTAATTACGGTCAGATGAGCACATTTTGACTCCTCATTATTTTGTGACAAAGGCAGGTCACTATTCTTTTTTCCTTATTTAGGAATTTGCCATTTCCCAACACTCATAAAAAAATCTAGGAAAATCATGTCATTTTAGTAATATTTGTAAATCACCGGTATCGAATTAGAAATAAACCACGTTTGAATTATATTTTGGGGGCATCTGTCACCCCCTTCCCCAAGCCCAACCCCCCCCCCCCATCAGTGCGACAGTGCCCCCCCCAATCTACACCTTAACTATCTTCTTTCTCTTTTTTTCTTTCCCTTTATCTCCTCTTTTTCCTTTCCCTCCTCTTTTTCCTTTCCCTTTCCTTCCTTCTCTCTTATTTTGTGATGGGGGGGGGGGGAGGGGGAGGTAACAGCTGGGAGGCAAGGCCCTTTTGCCGCCCGATCTCCTTTCCCCTTTTTCTTTTCTTCTTCCTCTTCTTTCTTTCCCTTTCTCTCCTCTTTCCCTTCTTTCTCTCTCTCTCTCTCTCTTTTTGCGGGGGAGGGGGGGGGGGGGCGGCAAAGTCCGTTCGCCCTGGATCCGCGCCTGTCCGCACTCATTGAGTCATCTCTTTTGCTTTGTACAACTAATACATTTCCTAATTATGAGCAGCACAGCTCATTACGACAATCGTGTCTAATGTTTATGAACTTGTTTTCCATTTTAATTGGTAAATTGATATTTAAATGTATTAATACATGTATGTATTTACATACATGTAGGAGCATCAGCTATCATGGCTTCAAGAAATCATGACACCCAGGTTGCGGGACATGGACCCTGCTCCTGTGCAACCCACAAAATATGATAAAAATAACATATAATTATAGAATGTTGTACTGTAAAACATCATCATAAGAGAAAAGAGGTGGAGAGGAGGAGGGAGGGACAGAAAGTGTGAGAGAGAAACAGAGGGGATGAAGGAGAGACGAAGGGAGAAAGAGGAAGAGGAAGAGGCAGAGAGAGCAAAGAGAGAGAGAGAGAGAGAGAGAGATACAGACAGAGAGACAGGGGGTGGGAGTGAAATAGAAATAGAGAGGAAAGACCAGAACTGAAGAAGAAAAGGAAAATCTGAAAGTAGCAAGTTCAGATAGAGAAAAGGGATGAGAGAGTGAGAGGAAGGATAAAAGTACATGCAACATCAAAATATGAATGAATGGAAGAACCTGCTGTGCCAATCATCATGACAATTAATATTGCACATAATTAATCTCCTCCATTAGATTATGATTTTCATTTCGCCAATGCTAATTATAACACCAATGACTAGACTGCGTTCCTTGAGCTGGCGAAGCACGCGCAGTTGAACTTTCCATGAACTCAAATCATGCCGCAATGCGCATAACTTGGCTCGCTTTCCCACGGTCATTAAACTTGCCGGTATTATCCGAAACCCGAAAACCTAACCGAGGAATCGTTCGGAAAACCGAGGAGTCGATCGTAAGCCCGAACGGAAGAGCAAAGTAGCCGCCCAAGTCAAACTAAGGTCAAGCTGATTTACGCATCAATTTTCTGATTGGATCAGCGCCCGGGGGCGTTACTTGGGATTTTTTTTGCTAGATTGATCACCCAATGGGTGCTCGTAAACTCATTGTACATGGATAAACGATATATTTGCTTCGTGAGTTAGGCCTATGGCCTTTTTAATGGGCACCATTTTAATTTACGGGTAAACAAACCATTGACCTCTAGATCTAGAGGTCAGTGGTTTATGCGTAAATTAAGATAGCGCCCATGCAAATATGATGTGAGCGCACAGCGCAGGCAGTGTCATCAATGTTTTCAGATGCGCATGTTGTTGCGTCACTGCCTGCGAGCTGCGCTGTGTGCGCTCACATCATATTTGCATGGCCGCCGTCTTAATTTACGCGTGAACTGAC